TTTAATACATTATTTTTTATATTTATTTTGAATAACATTGCATTTTCAAAATTACTATTATCACTAGACACTAACTTTTACAAAAATATTACAGTCTGAAAAATTGTACTTATAAATACATTTATATACATTATCAACATTAACGATAAGTTTTGAAAACGTAATAATCAATAAGAGAAAAATAAGAAAGTAACGAGTAATTTAGTAATTTAATTATAAACAAGGAACTTGGATTATCGTATAAATTACTTATAATAAAATTTAATTTAATGACTACAAAATTACTTAATAATAATTTATACAAATAATTCCGTTACAGTTACTTGTAACTTAAGTTAAGTTAATGCCCAACAACTAATCATTAGTGACGTATCGCTTACTATTATTCGGTCACCCACTTATATTACAGATTATAAAATAAATACTTATCATGCTTTTAGCGCGTTGATTACATATTTATTTATAGCATTTATGATTATTATGCCTATAGTCAATTGACTATTTTCTTTTCATTATACTTTACATACTGTAAACAATTTAACTTTAAATCATGTACAGTTTTTTTTTCTACAGATTTGTCAGTAATTTGTATTATTTAGAACAATTTAGTGGCAATTTTTCATATTATATTACGGCTATTCAAATCCTAGTTATTGAATTTTAACCGGTATACTTAATATGATAAAGTTTATATTTTTAGTCTCAACAGCTCTTTCAATTAAAATGAAATATTTTTATATACTATTTTAAACTTCAAAATTTTAAAAAAATGCTATAGTTTGTTTTTGTTTATAGTTTCCTAATATTTATATAAATTATAGCCGGAAACACTGTTGTTAAACGGCTTGTACAGTAACAAATAGCATTAAGATGCACAAAAAGTTTAAAAAGTAGGTTACGTAAAGGTATTTAATTTAGATCTGTATGCAATGATAAATCATTGCTGAAGAAATACGATTTTGAGCAAAGTTCAGTTAAAAATGTTTTGAAATGCTGTAATTTTTAAGATTGTTGTCAAAATTTGAACTCAAATTTTGTTTAAGACCACTGTTTTGTATAAGTAAAACTCGTTTTGAACTGTGTGATAAATTGTTAAGGATTTCTGTTAGGCCAAACAGATTGTATATTTACTTAAAACAAAACTAAAAAGTAAATAAATTTGAAATTGTTATATTTCTATAAATAGCTAAACATTTATTAGGATGTTTTGAAAATAATGCCACATTTTGAAAATGGTAATTTAAGTATTCTGTGAACATTCAGGTCTATACAATTATTTTTAACCTAATTATACCGAATATAGTTTCGACTATAAAAGTAAATTATCAGCATGGCTTACTGTGCTTCGGTGAGGAGTTTATGTCGGTTTTTTTTTTTTATGATTATTCTCTGGTGTTTGTTTAACGATTTTTATACCAGTTAAATAATAGTTAAAATTATTAACGCGTTGATATCGCTGCCGGATGTTGACATACCGTGTTTGAAATTGTTCACGTTTCATAAAGACAAAAAATGATAATAAATATGCGTGTAGTGTAGAACAAAATTTAAACCGTTATAAAATATAATTATATTGGCGTGAAAAATACCGTGTAGACTATAGAGTAATCTCGGCGAAAAAAAAAACTAAAGACGAAAGAATTTTTAACAAGACGTGTGGGAAAGCCAAAGTTCAAATGTATTCAAATAAGTTTTATTTATTTTTTATTATAGAATTTCAGTCTTTAGGTAGGTAAATGATAAAATAAAACAAGACAACAAATTCCATATTTAACCGCACGTACATTAACTCACAGTTCTCGTCAGTTATTGTGCGTTTAAAATAATGCAAACAACTTTTCGAAATTGATTGTGTGACAAACATTCTCGAGTAAATGTTTTATGAATATTTTCAAAAAAATCGACGATAAATTATGCATTTTGAAAAGGTTTTCAAAAGTCCAATCTGCGAATAAATGCGAACACAATAAAAATCATTACTTTGATTTTAAAACAAATAAAAACTCGATCAAATAAAAATCCAACAATAAATAGTTATTCGAGATTTGAATTTATCAAACCATTCCATCTATTCATTGCTTCCGCCAATAGTACCTATTCCATATTTTATTTAGTGGCACGCGACATTTTAAAATCTAAAAATGAAAAATTTAAAAAAGCCGACATACCCGTGGTTTTAGAATTTGGGAACGTAGGATAGGTATATAATTATTTAGTAATTTAGTTTATATACTGTATTTAGTACGTTATCACGTACTATATCGTGTATACGTATATCATTAAAAACGAAAAACGACTCTAAGCGAAATTCCATTAAATATATTAATTCGTTCGATTTATTAAATTGAACTAAATAAAATTAAATATTCATTTGTAAATGCAAAATGAATTTCGATTGTTTGTATTTTGAATAAATTTGAATTATAAACGTTAATAAAAATAAATTACAACACAAAACCAAAAAGAAAAAATGCTGTACTAGGATAATGGGGACGTGTGCAGCCACTGTTATAGGTAATTTAATGTACCTATATCTGTAGGCTGCAATGATTAACTATTGCTAACGAAAGACCGATTCGGAGCGAAGTTCGGTTTGATATTATCGCTTTGTCAACAATATATATTTCATATTATAGTAAAATGATTGCATATGCACTATATATTTTCTTTAATGATATTTGTTTAATATTGTACCTATTTTCTCAATTTCCCTTCGTTTTATTGCAGTTTTTCCCATTTGTTAAGAAAATTTCTGGGAAAATTAAAAAACGACTTTCCTAAAGTACCCCATCATCAGTCTGATTTCCGTTTTGAAAAAATGCCATAATTTAAAAATTAAAAAATAAACATCATTTAAAACTAACACATTTTGATTGAGCAAATTTGCCCGTTTTCATTTTACATATTTTTCGGTTTTTCCTAATAATTATGAAAACTTATTGAAAAATCAAAAAATATTTTTCTTACTTTGTAACGAAATCCAAAATGTAACAATAATGATCTCTTGGCATTTTTTGATTAAAGCAATATTTCTGGGAAAAAATATAAACCCTAAAACTTAAACACAATGAAATCGGTAACGCTGTAAATATTTGCCGTTTTTCCGATGAATTTTTTTCTGTTTTTCCAATTTTCGTGAAAAACTCTTTTGAAAATTTTCCAAAAGCATAAACTAGATAAAAGTTCCTTTCAGGAAAGGTGCTACACTTGATCATCGGAGACATTTTTCTGATTGAAAAATTGCTCAGACACAGAAAAAATAAATCACATCATAATAAAATCTAAAAAACAAATTCAAAAATAACCAAGACCGTTGTTGTAAAAATATTTCCGTTATTTCCTAGTTTTTCTCAATCACTGAGAAATCTACAAGGATAAATAAAAAAAAAAAAGAACTCTACAACGCACCGACCAGCAGTGCTCGTGAGCCTTGTAAGTAGTGATGCGAATATTCTTAAGACTATAGAAGGCGGTATAATAATACATATAAGTCATGAGCGTGCGTACGGGGATGACAGCTGCCTCCCCTGCGATTTTTTTCACCAAAGTTCATTTGAAACAAAATATGTTAATTTTTTAGTACATCAAACGCTGACATTTCATTTGGTTTGTAGATTGATGGAATTTGGGGTGGGGGGTTTCCCCTTGAAACTCAGTCAAGTACCCACCCCACAAATAGAATAAACACTAATTAAACAAAGTCAATATTATGAAGGAATAATAAGTTCCCCCCTCCTGAAATAGTTGAGCTTTTTGTGCTTAATGTGATTTAGTGTAAGGTTTGTTGATTTCAAAGATTTCTGCCTTCCCTGCCTAGAGGATATGATATAGGTAATCTCTCTCTATAGTTTCAATCCGCAGATTGGTTTGCAGCCATCTTCCATTCTTCTCTATTATCCGCTTTCCTTTTCATTTACCTACGTACGAGTTGCATCCTTGGTCTTTAATTATTTGTTGAACATACTCTAGTCTTGGTCTTCCCCTATGGGTCTTACCGTTTATGCATCCTTCTATGATCAATTTTAGTAGTCCCTCGTGTCGCATTATATGGCCTATCCATTCGTTTCGTCTTTTAACTATATTTTTCCATATAGGTAATAGGTATACAATATACAAGAACCAATAAATATACACGATTAGAAATAAAAACCAAGGCGCTGTAATTATTAATTATTATTTATTGATTTTAGGCTTCGGGTATCAGTATAATTACTTTGAAAATATTTAACATTCGTATTATTCAGTAACCGATCAATACGATATTTTAAATTATATTAATATTTTAAGATTTTGAAAGACGGAATTTGTAAATTGTAATTAACTAAGGTCGTATTTTTTGTGATGGGACAATTGCAGACGACGCGGCGTCTTATTCGCCAAACCTGGACGAGTCACCACCACCAATTAGAAATATATTGAAAATTCTATAAACAGATGGAGTATTAGTTAAAAAATAAATTATGGTGCATGTTTGACCCACAAAAATAAGGGTGACAGAAATCAACACGAGTGTAAAATCGTGGAGCCGCTTGTTTCTTAAATTGTCTGCAGACCGAAATTCCGAAAGAGGTCAATATACTTTCCGAGATAACGAGTGCTTTACGACCGATTGATCGCCCTGTATACCCAGGTACCTATAATAGGTATGTATATTGTATATTAAGTAGCACGTACACACTACCCACTTAACCGCTGCGCGTCACCCGTTTCGAAATCCACGGCGCCCGTAACGGCGTTACGGGCGGTACACGTGAAACGACAACAGAAAATAAATAAATAAAACCTAAAGAATCCGACTCGGCGGCGTTGCACGTGAGCGTCGTACGGGTAACCCACGCGCGTGCGCTCGCCCGACGTGAACGACACCTCCGCGAGATTAGGTGTACGACAACGCGCGCGCATCCCGCAAAAGTCCGTCCAATCCCGTGACGCGGTTCCCGATCGTCCGATGCACCGAACCGGTTTCCGTGTGGTCGCCGCCGTCATCGCCGCCGCAGTCGGTCAACGTCAACGCGCGCGCCAGCAACCCAGAGCACCGCAAGTCTGCAACCCGCGTGTACCGAGAACGCGCACCGCCGTAGCCGTCGCCGCCAATAGAATACCGGAGGACACGGGAAACGTCGTTATTGGACGTACGTAAGAAGAGACAAAAAAAAAACCCAGGTAAATAATAACGCTGTAATTATTATGCGTGTATTTATCGTACACCGGAATGAATTCGAAATTTATTTTCATTTATGCGGGGGAAAAAAACAAATAAACGACACGGGGCAGGAAAAAAGTAAAATAAAATAAAATTATAACGTTCTTATACAATTTCGACGGTTGGTACCAAGTACGCGGGTATCGAAATGCGTTCGAACACCGCGGCATAATAACGAGTATCGAGTCGGCCGTTTCCCGTCGACGACGACGGCGACGCGGCGGTTCCCGTTACCTACGGCCGATAATAATAATGCCACACGTCGTCCCGCACAAACGAACGGCGTGGTAGGTGCGTGTGGACGCGTAGTCGTATTTCCGTGCACGTGCACTTTGCAATGCGACGTTTGTTTTGTGTAGAGGGAAGAAATGAAACGAATAAAACGCGCGACGCCGACGACGGTTTTCGAAACGTTAGTATTTTTAGCGCGGCCGGACCGCTCGCGCGCTGCCGCCGGCCGTACGCGTCGCGCGCTCCGCGGAACATTACGGACCGAAATCACGTCGCCGCCGACCGTCGTTTTGACCGGCCGTTTTTCGAAAATCGCCGACCGTGTAGCCGCGCCGTTTCTTTCTCTCTCCCCCCCACCCGCGTACACTCGGCGGCCCCCGTGCCGCGACCGAACGCGCGCGCCTCCCCGGAGATCACCACGAGACGTCGCCGAAAACCCGTTCCGACGAGATGCCCGTAAGATAAACTGCACAAGTATGGCGCGGCGTGGTCAGTGGTGGCGTAAATACCGGGCGGGCAAACGACACGGGCCCATAACGACGGATGAGGGCCTTGCCGGTGGTCCAGACCGGGGCGTTATCGGACAGGCGCGGGTCTTTTTGAACAATCCACACACCTTTTTTTTCCTGTTTGTCGGCGCGGTCCTTAGCACGTCAATACAATATTTTGCCGCGAGCATCGGAAGTTCTAGTCACGCAGCCGGACGTCGTCGTCGTCGTCGTCGTCGAAACCGAAAAATCGATATTCTCATAGTGCACGTTCGCACGCCTATGTAATCGTATCCGCGATAAATCCCGCGAATTTCCAAATCCCCGAGCGATCCCGCGCGCGTCCGCCACTCGGGGACAGAGGCAGTAGGGGTGCGGTTCTCAAACGCCGTCCGATTCCTCCTCTCTTCGGAAACTCCTTTCCCGTTAGTCCTCCGCGAACGCGGTGGCCTCCCGAAGGTACCTATCGATTGTGTTTCTTCCGTTTTGCGTACGGGCGCGCGAAAAGAACCCCAAAACGAACGCAGCGCGAAAACTCTGTACAACGACGAGTCCTCAGGGTCCTGCGAGCGATTTCTTTCGTCACGGAGAGTGTTCGCGACGCAAAAGGTTGAAGACCTGACGCGCGGGAGGCCGTAAAGCGAACCGACCATTGTTGAGCTATCGATTTTTACGTTATTTGCGTAGAGTTTTTCCACGAAAAGTGTTTTCAAACGTGTCTTAACGCTTTGCTCGTTAAACCCGCGCCCCGGGAACATTCTCCGCGACCGTTTCTTTTTTTTTTTTCTCGTCGAGTCTACTCAAATAAGTTTACGCAACACGTTCGCGCGGTGTACGCGTAGAGTTATCTCACACGCGAAACGACGGAAAACCGAAATTTCAACGTCGTAATAACACAGCGCCCAATGTTGTCGTCGAATAATCGGTTGGAAAAAAATAAATGAAAATAATTAATGCCGGGCGATACGCTCTAGTTTTGACCGTGTCGTGTTCAAAATATAATATATTCGCGGGCGACAGGCCGCGGATACAACACGCAGGTAGAAAACGCGTTCGGCTATTACGCGTGTACGCGGCGAACGACAATTTGTGAAATATTGTTATCAAATTATTGTGTTGTCGCTGCAGGCAGAGATTAACGCAATAGTGTTCGGGTCCGGCGCGCGGGGCAGCTCCGGTTTTATCACGGCGACCGTTCGAATAACGATAACCTCTGTGTATTCCAGATTTTTTTTCGACTCTGAGCGAAGCCGCCCGTACCGGAATACTCGGCCCGATCAAAAACTCTACGGCGGCTTAATGGTGCCGTTTTCAATCGAGTGCTAGCGATGGCCATTTTTCGCCGATTTCCGGATTACCCGTGTGGGCAATAAGCGAACCATGCGACTCTGCCCGCAATGGTTTTTCGTCGGGTTCGCTTCATCTCGGCGCCCCGACGTCCATTGAACTACTCCTTTCCGACTGGCCTCCTAAAACGGTGACACACCCATCAAGCCAGTGTCGGCCTTTTGAATTTCCGTTGTGTGTGTGTGTGTGTTTGTATTAACGATTTTTTTACCAAAAATCTCACTCCGGTCTTCATGCGCAGCATTTTTTCCGTAAACTGGCTATTTCTACAGTTTTCTTGACTGTTTAAGAAAATTATCAGGAAAACATTTTCCGTTATTTTCGATTTTTTTTTGCAAATTCTATAAAAAAAAAACACGAAATTTTTACACAATAGCCCTTCCTAGACGTGGTAAACTTCCGAATTCTGACGGTTTTCCTGTTATTTATAAATATGTGATTAAAGTCACTGTAAACAAAAAAGGAATTAAACAAATTTCATAACATTAAGCAGGTTCATTAATTCGTACAAAAGAAATAATAACAGTACATAAAATGATGTCCTAATAATATGTTTGAACGTTTATTATTTTGTAATCAAGTTCCAACACGAATTATATGAAAAAACGTATTAAACTCGTTGAAACGTATTTTCAAACGTATTCGATAAAAATTAATGGTTCACTTTATTACGCAAGAGTATCTATATATGTAAAAATGTGTAACACAAACGATTTGACTGATTACCTATTCAAACACCAACGTTGAACTGCAGTAAACTCACATTTTTTTTTTTTTCTACGTATAATATTAAATCAATAATGACGACTATAAAGGACTGACACATACGCCTGTTAACTAATTTCCTAAAACGAATATTATGCTGTATTATAATAGTCGACGGTTTTTTTATTCTAATAACGCCAGTAAAATGAATACACTTTGTAGGAACTACTGGCCTGTTTATAATTAATGTTTCAATTCCGAAGTATAAATGTGCTTAATAGTGTTATACTTGAATTATTTTTAAATTTTCAAGAACAGAATTAATATTTTAAATCGGCGTGTTTATATCGATGTGATAGCGACTGCGTGACCGAATTTTTTTTTTTTGGATCACACTTTGATTTTACAGGGAGAAATTTTTTTTCCTCGTTTTCATAATTGAAATTTGACGGAATTCCGGTCGGGAAATCTCACGCCGTTACAAATCGACAAGGATAAAATACTGTTCTTAATAATTTCAAATATTATTATAATATATTGTAGTGCGCAGTTAGACTCGGTGTTGCTAAAACGTGTAAATTTGTTTCTGTTTCCGCCATAATAACTGCGCAAGACCTAAGAATTATTCGGAAAATAGTATTAGATCATCATGATTTTTGTGTATTCAGTTATTATTACAATAATTGGTGATTTGTCGCGCGTTTTTTTTTCCCTTTAATTTTAGAACACTTACTATGCATGTAATATTTTGCTTATACATTATTATTTTTTTTTTCGATTATATCGTATCGAATTATTCGTCATTCATTTTATGTTTGTTTCAGGGAATCGACAATATTATTTTCTTGCAGTGTGTACGCGATAAACCGAAAAAAAAAAATTATCACCGATAAGAGCCGAATTTTTTCAATTAGTAAGTATTTAATATACTCGTATTATAATACAGTAATACGTTTTCGTTATATTTGTATAGTCATCAGGCACGTATACAGGACGGAAGGGGGGACTGGGGATTCAACACCGCCCGGATATTTGAAAAAACGCACAATACACTATAGTTCACAAACATTTTCGATTTTTTACTTATGAACCTCCCCTCAAAATTGTTTTCGGTTTGCGCGCCTGCGTATAACCGAAGCACAATACGTACAGTAGGCGCGAAATGTTTAGATAAATACCTATATTGAACGTTTTCGCAATATAATATTGTTTTTAAACGGTGTACGCACCGGATAATTTAGGGTACTCCGAATTATGCGTTATAGTTTTGATAGCATTGAGTGTATGGAGTAAAATCGCTATATTCCTATACAAATTTTCGCAAAACCGTAACATAAAATTTCGAACGCTCTGTACCCATTTTATACGTGTATAGGAAACAATATGTTCGTATAGTTAACATAAAAATAACGCACGGGCGTACCGCGATAATTTCGCGATTCGTTTTTTTTTCGTCTCTTAATATTATATTATTATTAGATAAATAAGTTTGTATTCGACAGTATTGTGTCAGTATAGAGTTATGCAGAGTCTATCTGCAGGGAAAAAGGGCTTAAGACAATTTTGAACAGTTTTGATTACAAGCAAATTGAATTTTGATAATACACAAGTACGATATTACGCCATGTAGACCGAAAGATAATGTTATTGTCGCATGAAACAATATAATAATAATAATAGTAATAAACAAATGTCGACAATTGACCCGAGCCCATTTTCACCGGGATATAGAGATATAGTTTCAAAAAAACGCGAAATTCTAGCCAAAAGAAAAAAAAAATATTCAGTAATGAACAATAATATTTCTGCCGCTGTTGTTGCGTTGTGGTATAGGCATAAATGAAAAATAATTTTTTTTTTTTTAATTTTTTTGTTTATATTTATAAAACGTTTCGAAAAAACGCTCCCGTAAGTAATAATATTTTTAGTATAACCTGTGCGACGGCTTTGTCCACTGTAAATAATTACGAGATGTATCGGTACATCACCGCGAAAACTTGTTTTCGTCTTTGTAAACATTAAATACGTCATACGAACCGTTTGGATGAAGTAAAAAAACGCTCTCTTTCGGTGCACGATGAGCGGATTATGTATCACACAAAACGTAAACATAAAACAACGTGCTACACGTCGTCATCGTTTTTGCTTGCGTTTTTTTTTTTTTTTTTTCCGTTTACCGCGGTGCATCTACTCGTCAAACCAGTTTCCGATTCGTTTTCAATAATATTCACCGCGAAAATCGAAAGTCGTCGTTTATACACGAAATCTCGCGCCAATTCGGTTTTTGTACATTTGCGCACCGATTTTACTCGCGAATTATCTCTGAGAAAATATCCGGAACTTTCGACGGATTTGCCTTTTAGATTCAGAGTGGAGCGAATTGGTTTTACAATGGTGTTTATTTATTTTTTTTTTAATTCGTTTTTTTATGCGGACGACTTTTCTACCAGCAACATTGCTCCGATTTTCAATAACGCCACTTTTTCTTAAAGGAAATCTGATTGGGAAGGTAATTTTTCGATTTTCCCAGGAGTTTTCCTAATAAATAGAATAAAACGTAAGTAAAACGGAAAAATAGGTACAATGTTGAACAAATATTATTGATGAAAATATATACCATTATGCAAATATAATTATTTTACCATAATATGACATTTATAATCTATATATTATTGACAAAGAAACACTATCGACCGAACTCCGCTCAGAATTATTTTTCGTTAGCAATGGTTAATCGGTGTTTACAGCAGATATACATTAAATTCCATGTAACAGATGGCTCCACCCGTCCTCACTATCCTAGGACAGCTTATTTTTTTTTCGGATTTTTTCGTTTATTCCCCATTAATTAATAAGGTTACACTGCATTATCGACGGAAATTCGATTCGCAGAGTACAATAGCACGTTTGATCGCATACACAATTTGTAGTTCGCAGTTTTATCGTCATTGTTGTTATTTTATTAATTTTTGGCGCTCATTCATTCGGTATAACATACGAGTTTTCAATCGGGTAATTTATGTATAATATAGACGTGTTTTAGCGATTAAAACTGATTATTGCCATTATATCCGATATATTAATACAATTTTGACCGGACATCGTAAACATTATTTTTGTTTGGTAATGGCGTTTCAATAACCCTGCAGCTATAACCAAAGGTTTACAAAACCGCAATCGCAATCGTATACGACAGGTTATAGTCAATTTTTGGTTAATCCCCAATAAAATACGCCTAAACAATTGTTTTCGTAAGCAAAACTTTTATTTTTTGAATTTTCGATGTTTTTTAGTTTCGAGTGATTTTTCAAACGCTTGCGCTCAAAATTTGTATCACAAATAACGCGCTGCGTTGGCAAATTTACTTTAATTATTTTCACAGTAAAATAGACGTAATATACGGCATTTTTGTTTGTATAATTATTTGTCATCGATATACAAGTTACGACAATCGAAAAATAAATCTCCGATTCAACACCAGAATGTACTAGGTATCGGTTTATTAATTTTTTTTTTTTGAATTTATGTATACAACCAACGCGGCCAGAAATGTTTTTTTATGCTTGCAATTAAGAGCTTAGTAATTATCTAGATATCCAAAACCATTCGTTTATACCGTAGCGATTGACACAAACTAATAAAGTGTTACTATCGGACTACCTATTCACATAGGCGCAATTAGAGCCCGATTATTAGAGAGGGTGTTGAAATTATGTAGTGCACAGTGCACACCAACCCGTGGAGGCTATACGTCCCCACATCTCCAAATACCATATTTCTGATCTCAAATTCATAATTACAATAACCATTCTTAAATGCACTATGGAAACTTATGCACGCTAATATTTTGGTAGATATATTAACAGTAATATACCTTTTTTAATTCATTATATTTTGTTATTAAAGTTATAAAGTATTGATTAATATTTAGTAAACAGATGATTGAACAAATTATTTTATTTGGGAACTTCTGTTAAAATAACCATACGCAATTTTGAACTTTCAGAACTTTTATTAGAAAATTGTTATAAACTGTTTTTATTATTTGCAATATCGCATTATATAATAATATTAAAGTATTTCATAATACTAATATTATTTTACGATTACTATAGTGCAGCAATATACTTTTCTAATATTTCCGAAGAAGTTATTTTATTAATTGTTGGTGTTTTTGAACTGTTGGTGCTAAATTAAAGTTTGGAGGCGCTGGAGCAGACTTATTTACACATTCTACAATCGAACTGTTCGAACAATTCGATATTGATTGAAAACTAGTAAACAGTTTATAGAAAATTACCATATTTTTCGCTCTCCTGTGAAAAAAAAAAAAAAACAGGAAAAATGTTAATAGAAAACCTTCTGGTTTCAAGCCGACGATACGTGTAGCGTTTACGGGACTTCGCGTATGCATCGCAGTTTACAATTTATTTAAATGCCATACGAACGGAAGTTTCTATAGTATATTATTATGACGCAGATTATAATATTATTATTGTTGTTAACTGCACAAATAATATTGCAAACACTCGCTATTATGGCCGCTGTTGTACCCGTTATAATAAAAAATATAATATTGCGTACTCGCGTCCCGTATATATATCGAATTAAACGAAGGTCTTTTTTATAATAACAATAATAATAATAATAATAAAAATAATAGCGCTTAATTTATAAATAATTGTCCGCGCGCGTTTGAAGAGCGTCTCCGCATCCGTCTAAAATATCAAATCAAATTCGCGACTGTTAATATTTTTTTATAGCCGCGTTTCCGTCTCCGCCGTATATTGTAATTTAAACCCCCTAAAACCGTCATAAAAACGTCGTAAAAATAATACAATAGGTTCTCGTTAATCCGAACGGGATTGGGGAAAGGTGTCGTTCCCGATTTTTTCGCAGTTTAAAATGAAAACGCATTGGTTTTTTTTTTAATTTACCATCATAATTTAACATTTAAATCATTAAAATACATGCTGTGCATACAATTACAATTTAAATTATTATTGTTATATTAAATTGCATAGGTCATCATTTGCAATAATCGTTTTTAGATCCGGAGCGTAGCGAGGTATCTATTGGTTTATACTATGGCATGTGTTTTTTTTTTTCTTTCTGTGAACAACTTATTTCTACCAGAAATCTCCCGCCGAAGTATCGAGTGTAAATTTTCCGAAGTTTTCTCTAATTGTTCCATTGGGAAGGACGGTTTTTAATTTTCCAAGGGATTTTTAAAATAATTGGGAAAACCCAAAGTTTGACACGTTCATTACAATTCGTACTTATTGGTCGAAAAAAAAAATTGAGTATAATTTTGAAATCAAATTTTGACGAAAAACGTAAATATTACGAACTTTCAATATACGAACTTCGCTCCATATCGTTTTTCGTTAATAAATTATCTAACTTTGTGTATCCTACCTTCCTAAGGTATACACACCTACAGCAGTGGCCGCACCCATCCCCAGTATCAATTTTGCATTTTTTTTAACACCGATTCCTATTACACGGTGATCGAATGCTTTGTCCTGCAAACGTTATATTCAGTCTTTCGTATCAATGTTCGTATTTTATACTTTATACTTTATACTTTATACTTAATAGATTGATTATTGATATCACAAACTATGATTGCGGTTTATAGTTATTTGTTGACCGCAGTTATTGATGTAATTGACAACGATTATTATTTTTCCCGGTGAATGGCACTTGTTCGAAAAGTGATCAGAACCGTTTTCGGAAAAGCGGCCCGGTTATGTGCTGTACACGAAATAAAATCCCTACCCTACGTAATTTTTCGTAACAAATCGTTGTTTATTTTCGATTAGTTTTCTCAGTTCAGTTTTTTTTTGTTTCGCGTCGTCTGGGGTCGAAAAGCCCCGAACAAAGTAATTTTGCAATTAAAATGTAGCAATATTAAATATTCAAATATTACAAATTTAAATACTTCAAAATTTTTTAAAAATTACGATCTCGGACATCCTGCAACGGGCATGCAGCGTTTAAAACGCCCACTCGAGTGGGCCCGCACGGCATCACTGCAGTGAATGTTACGAGTGGGTAACCTACACTGAATAATATCGCATTATACAATCGGTTCAACACACACACAAATGTTGTATTATGTTATTGCACACCGGCTATCGTATACATATATATATATAAATGTATACAAACGTTACACGCCGAATCGGTTATGATATCGAAACCGGCGACGAAATATTTGTAGGTATTATAATCGCTTCGCGTCGGGTTCGAGGTCAAAACCGTGTGTTAATTGAAAATACCGCACAGGGGGCCGCATCACGCGATTGTATTTCGACGATTTTCGTGTTGCCATTGGTTGGCCGTCTGAAGTACCTGCTGCTGCTGCAGTACATTATTGTTGCGTCCGTTTCGACGGTGCACATGCATTTTGTCGTCCCCCCTTCCCTTTTTCTATACACTTAATACCTCAATACACTTGAAATTATTAATACATCACAGTATATGGATCAACGGCGATTATTGTTACGCTGTTCAAATGTTATTCCGGCGTTCGATTATTTGACACTATTACGGCGAAGTCGGGCGCGGTGAAGCGTTTTAAACGTTTTTTTTTTTTTTTCTAAAAATCGTTCGAAAATTAAATTAAAACAACTATTAAATATGTTACGAAGAGCGAAGATATTATTTTACGTATGACGTCCCACCGTGTTCGGCGGTTTTTCTATATAGAGCCGTTTCGGATTGTCATTATTTTCATTATTACTCCGTAGACGTAGTATTCTATAATATTGGTTCGAATTTGTTTGTAAACAAAAAAAAATAATAAAAATTAACTTATAATCTGCATAGGTAATTGTTTCACAAACTTGACGGGCCAGTCAGAGCTTTTACTACAGCCGGTGATAAAACCTATGGCGTAGTATTGTCAGTCGGAGTACGGACCGGCATTTGGAAATGAAGTAGTAGGTACTATGCAGTTAGTTAGGTCGACGCTACTTGGGAAGTGTTTACGGCAACAGGCTCCGGGGACCAATTCTTGAAATGTGATAAGTTTTTATCGAATAAACACGTTTATTGCATAAAACGCAAAATGTGCTATTCTCGAATTTCTTTGAGTTATTGTGAACATTACGAATTTCTAAAACACTAAAAATATCAAAACAATATAATACGCGAACGCGATGTCTATTTTTACATTCCCGGTAAAATTACCGACAAAAGATTTAAAAAAAAAAAAAAAAAACAGATATACATTAAATTCTTTATCCTTCCCAACTTCTCACCTACAAAAGTTGCCCATCGTGCGAAGTATGTCCGTTTTTTTTTTTTTTAAAACCCAAATAAACAACATGATTAAAATGTATACATTTGTTTACAATTATAAACATGTTTTAATCAATAAAACACTTTTGAAATAAAATAAACTGTTTATTTAACTAGTTTTTCGAATGCTAGAGTTCAGACATTGAAAAATTCAATTTTTTTTTTTTATGTATTGATTCAGTTAGAAGCTGTACGTCGGTTGTTTGTATTCGTACTATAAATACGTAGAATGGAAATCCTGTCTTTCTGTAGGGTACAATATAGAAAATAAATGTGTTCACTTAAAACTAACGAAAACGTCTTTTAAATCGGCTTTATAGTTAAAAACAAACATTACACTATTTGTAGATGACAACGTTTCGGAGACAACTTCGAGTTTCAATCGAAAGTACAACAAATCGTATTTTACGTATTTTTTTTTCCAAAATGAATTAATTTTTTGTTTAATTAGTGTTTCAAAAATCGCCGACGAGGCGTCTTCAAAGTATTATCATCTACAAATAATTTTATGATAGAGTCTTTTTTCTTTAAAACCGATTTGAAAGGTTGTTGCGTTTGTTTTACGAATATACATTTTCGATATATCCTCTTAAAAAGATAGATTCCTACGTTAGAATTGGCGAAATACAGGTGAGGCGGTTTTTTAAATTCTGAATACACGTAATTTTATTTATCTCTTTTTAATAATTTCAAAATGGTTTTGTTTTTCTTATTTTTCCCCCATTCTTCACCATTCATTGCACGTTCGATGTATAATATATTATTTATGTTTAATACTAATATCAACTAATATAACTAATATAGTATTTGAAATATTTAAAAATTATTGTTTATTTCATATAATCGTTATTGCATAAGGTCATCGGGAGCCGATGAAATCGGTTTTATTTCATCGTTCATATTATTATGTTTAATTTATCTATATCTAAAATATTGTGATAAGAAATTACGCGCGTTACTATAATTTTCTATATTATTTGGAATAACATAATTAATAGTGTTTTTTACTATCAGTTTTACTATGTTGCGGTTTTATTGTTATTACTGTTTTTATTTATTTATTTTTTTTTATTTCTGTAAATAACTTTTCTACCAGAAATCTTGTTCCAATCAAAAACATTATAGGGACTTTTTTGTAGCGTTTTTGATCTTTGTTACATTGAGATAATTTTTTGATTTGCTTTGTGGCTTTATTAATAAATTGTAAAAATTGTCAATTCGTAATATAATTTTTGTTGATTTACTGGTTTATCTCGGCAACAAGGGAAAAATATGATTAATAATATTCTGCTTATAATCTTTTTTCATTAACTGCGATTTATCGTTGCGTACAGATATAAATAAAATTACTCTTTATATCCTCCCTTCCGACTTTCCTTCTAAAATAGTGGTACACCGGACACTCATCAGCGGTGTCTTTTTTTTCAGGAGCTTATCTATTGGACTTCGAGTAGATCAAATACATATATTTATTTGTATAGAGCTCTACAACATTCCACATCCTCTAACTATGTATGACAATTTTGAATAATATATTGTCGTCGCGTTGAAAAAGAATACAAACAAATCGAAAAGCATTCCGACGTGGTTATATCGTTGACACATAGAATGGGATTCGTTTTTACGTACGACTAAATATTTAAAACATAATAATATTTACTTTAAAACATTAGAGCGTTTTAGAGGACATTAATGGTATCGTGTTTTTTTTTTTTTTTTTTTTTTTTGTTTGTTTAAATATTCCTGAATCGAGTTGAAAGTTGAACATATGATTATGTACAGTGGACCGTGTTGAATAAAATTATAATAATACCGAATAATATATACATCGTTGTATTAGTTATCCTATACATGTTTATAAACGACGCGGACAATCCGAAATGCAATAGGTACTTAAATATTTTTTTTTATTGATGGAAACGATTAGACGCACATATTATAATAATAAAATATACGCCTAACGCGCGTGAAAAATAATATAATCGAAGATAAAAAAAAATAAATATGTTACACAATACTACTTTACTTTTCCCCTAACGCGTTTTCTGCCCGAGAGTGAAGGAAAAAAAAACCCGAAAAAACCGGACAGAACTCACGAAACCAGTATAAAGTTGTTTTTTTTTAATAAAAGACACAGCAATCGCGTTTGGAATGTTGCGTCGTGTTACCTACCGCACGTCATTTCCCATCGGCCGCTTTAATAATTTATTTTACGTCGTTCTTTAAGTCCTGGAATATTTCGTAGAAGAAAAATTATACCACTATATTATTAAATAATTTATTTTCGATTAGTAAAACGGCGACAAATTCAATTAAATTGCATTTGATCAACGAACATTTTATCTCTGTATACTGTGAGAAATAATTTGAACATGTTGTACTTGACTTCTTGAGCCTGAGAAAAAAAAAATCTAATCTCGCACTTAATTTAAATATTGTCAATATAGGTCCGCATGAAAAAATGTCAAACGTTTTGTTCGTGAAATATATTTTAAATCGCTATAGAAGTCGATCAACCATCGAATCGACCGATAAGATATTACATACTAGCCAATTCGTTTCATGTGAAGATTTTCGTAGCTTTTGCAGCGTGCACGCTGCAACAGCATAATTTAGCTTGCAGATCGTTTCGTTTGGTGCGGTTTTTGTTGCGTATTAATACACAATGTAATATACAATGTTATACAATGTTCATATATATGTATAGAATCGAAATTTTTCATCACCATGTGGAAAACGAGATAATTATTAGTTCGTATTGTATAGGTGTAATACAGTCATGCCTCATACCCTAGCCCCCCCATCCTCTGAGACGTTATCTCGTTGAACGAAATTCGCGATATTATATCGTATTTTTTTTTTTTATATCCATATATACAGTTTAATGATCATTATTAGTCTAGATCGTCGATCTATTAGATCGTTTTTTCGGCTTTTCATTAAATTAAAACTTATCAATCAAAGCACACCAGTCACAAAATAAAAAAACAAAAAAAACGTGTTAATTTTAATAGACTTGGAATACAAAACGATTACTCGTTATAACCCCGGAGGAAAACATGATAATTTACACGGTGACAAAATATTATCAATTATTCGGGTCGTAGCTGGTAGTCTTTTGTCCGAAAATGATAACTGGATATCAAAAATTCGACTAGGAGGTGTATCAACGTCATTTCTTTATCATTATTTTTCAATATTATCAAATCGTAGTGACATAGAAAACTATCGTACCCATCAATAATAAATTATTATAAACTAGAAAAAACTTATCGCAACGGTTGAAATGTACGTCGTCGTTTTTTGATTCCTGGCAATATTTTAATTCGTACATTTTTAATTAGTCAAATATGCGAAGATATGATTTTACACGAATGTATTATTCTATTAACGTCAAAATATGCACTTAACAAGCAAAATAAAATTTTCGATTAAGATTCCTTATACGATGAATCATTGACATATCTCATTCTCGCGGCTGTGTATACATCCATTAAAAATATGTTTTTATATAGAAATCCGCGCATCTATAGTTATTACCACTTACCAATATAATACACGAGTATTCGTCGATTAATGTTAAACAAACAAATAATTAGATATTATACGTTAGGCGTTTATTGTAGATAGATACTTAATGAACGAAACGAGGGGTTTTTTTTTTTTTTTTTATAACTACGCGACATTGTGTAGTACCGAATAATATGCAGATATGAAACGGATTTCGAGATTTGTAAGTGCACAGTACTACAGTGTATAAATTTGCGACGTAAGTGTCACGGTAAAGTTGAACAAATAATAATAACGTTGTGTATGGTCAGAAAACAAATATATACCGGGTGATTCATTTAAGTGGGTGCACTCATTATCTCGGAAAGTATTTAATTTTTTCGGAATTTGTCTTTTAGAAGAATTTAGTGTTGACATTTTTGATTTCCGTCAATCCGTTGACGAGATATTCCACTTTTAAGTTTGGATTGGAGGAGTATAGTGGAGTATCATTTGTGTGTCGGTATGGCGCGCGGAGTGTTAACAACCCAAACTTAAAAGTGGAATATCTCGTCAACGGATTGACGGAAATCAAAAATGTCAACACCAAAATGCATTTTAAAAAATACTCCATCTATATATAGATTATTTTTAATGTAGATTGCCATTTGAAAATCATAAATAGGTGGTGGTTTTCCCCCCAAAAATAAGGGTGACAAAAAATAATATAAATATTAAACTGTAAAGCTACTTGTTTTTTGAATGTTCTAAAAATTAATACTTTCCGAGATAATGAATGTACTCACATGAATGAATCGCTTGGTATAAAGGTATATAATGTACAGGGTTCGGGGGAAGAACCCCTCCGATTTGTGAGGGGAAACCCGTGGATGAGGTGGGCAGAGGTAGAGCAGTGAGGACTGCTGTGTTCATGCCGTTTTCAGTCATTATCATGACTTGACGGCCAAAAGAGCGCCGTGCTTTTAATGTCAAGGAATTTATTCGAAATGGGATATTTGGAATTCTGAGAGAAATATTTCTTGCAGGACATGTTTTCTCCATGCAGGATGTTAACGGGTTATCAGCATCACATTCGCTTGATTTGACCCGGGGCGATTTTTTGTCTTCGGGATTACCTCAAAGCCCAGGAGTACTAACACCGCATCAAACATTAAAAGCTATAAAATAGTAACAGCCTTGGAAATTACCGCCATTCCACCATTGTGGTACTTTACCGGCGAAGGCTCAATAATTAGCGTATTTCAATTTTTAAACTTAATTGATTTCAAATGAATTCATTACATAAGCTATTCAAAAGTGAAAATAGTTCTTTCCTATCGTGCTTAGTTTGGTTTCTATTTGCTTCCCAAATCGGGGAGATTTTTCCGCTGCACCCTGTATAATAATATGTTCGTGGCATATTCAATTGGGGCATAATTTATAGGGATGGGGCGAAACTATCACTATTTAACGTTATCCGATATTCCGATGTAAAACTGACACTCGATATCTGATAGGTATTTAAAATCGCGAAAACCTTGACTTGATAATGAAACTAACCGGGTTATCTGTTGAAAACGTATGTAATATTAATCACAGAGATAAGGACTATAAATACAAATATATTTCAATTATTTTTTTATTTCGGTAAACTACTTATAAAAATAACTTTTTATTTTATTATTGGAAAATGTTAAAGATAGCTGTAAATGTTGGCGTATAACTTTTCATTTTCATTAAATTCGTAATTTGTAATTGTTTTTTAAAGTTCAGAGCAAAAAAGTCGACAATCAATTAACCATAATTATAATAATCAATTAGCGAGTGCGATTACGACCTGCTGCATAATTATTGGTATATCTTTGTGAGACGCCTGTATAGGAAAATAATTTGGACACGGGCTTACATAATCTATAACCTATAAGATATACGAGGTAATAAAATTGTTCGAACATATCCCAACTTCCCGATCAGCGAAATAATAATATTGATTAAAAAATGTCATTACTACGAAAACGTAACTATTAACATATTATTATTAATAGATTTTGAGATAATATTATATCGGTTAGGTAAGTTATAACGCGTTATAGGTTTTGGCGAAAAATCCCGAAAACCTTTTCTTAACAATTATTGTATCTTAAAAACATACACTCGTTGATCTGCTTTAATTTAATTTTTTTTTTATAATTATTATTATTTATCTTATTTATATTATCGTTCATTTTGTTCTATTTAAACAACTATTCAATTAATTAAAATATTGTTTCCGTTTAAAATATGAGCGAAACGGGTGAAAATTAACTTATTTGATTTACAGTGTACACTAGATAAATGTAGTAGATAAGTGGATATCTGCACGTATAGATATGGTGATTCTTATGCCACATATTACAGCGTTTTTCTTTCTGTATACACTGTCAATTTTTATGGGTTTTACTAATTTGCTTTTTCAAAGTATCCAACTACTATACTATAATTCAATAAGTATTGGTACTTTAAGGGGATTGCAGTCGACAAAAAATGTGTTATTTAAACCGAAAAGCTATAAATAAAACAGTAGTGTTTGAAATTGGTGCCAACCACTACAGCCGATCATTTGTGGATATTTTTTGTAGACAACTCACTTGCGGTTATCTACTGTACAGTGAAAATCGCTTATCCAGATTATGCATGTTAAGTTTATATAGGAAAAAAGTCGAAGAACTTAATTTGGCAGACAAATTATTGTTGACGAATTTGAGAAAAATAAAAATACAATTGTAATTTGTGTTCAGTTAGTTACTATAAGTGTAAAATTGAATATTATATTATTGTAGGTATCTTTAAAATTTTTTGAAAATACACATAATACATTAATAAAAATGTTTGATTATTAATACAAATTAAGGTTGCCCCCCCTGAATTTTGTAAATATGAATATGTAAAAAAAAAAAAATACATAATAATCGAAGATTTTTACCGTTTACAGCTGATTAACGTTTTATGATGGAATGATCACTATAATTCCGGGAATATCATAATATTATATCTTATACTACATAAAACCATATTATATTATAATATACGACGATGTCAATCACAACCACGATGACGGATTACGGGGGAGCGATAACTCAAAACAATAACGTGCTGCAGCAGCAGCATCAGCAAATCAACGTACCGACCATCGACTGCAAGCTGTACAAACGACGGTGGCCAATGTTGACGTTGTTCGTGCTTTGCTCGATGGCGAACGCAGTCCAATGGATCCAGTACAGCATCATATCGAACGTCATCATGAAGTTTTACAACGTGTCGAGCTTTCAAGTCAATCTCACGTCTATCGTGTACATGGTCACCTACATACCGCTCATATTCCCGGCTTCGTGGATACTCGACAAAAAGGTATGCGAGCATATTTCAAGAAGTGTTTATTATAAGTGGCGCTGTGGCCGAGGACCTACTTAAAACTTAACCATTAATAAAAACATACAAAATCGGTGAATAAACTGGGTTAGATTGTCTATATTCTGATAAGTACCTAAGGACTTATTTTTTATTATTAGTTTAGAGTGAGGGTCGCCAACCAGTCGATCACGATCAACCGGTCAATCTTTCTAGGAATACAGGTCGATCGCGGTTAAAAATTAATTTTACCATTGTCGGTACATACGAGTACTAAAAAATACCCAAATCTACGAAGCATTATACTCTTTGTATAATTTTATTCTTTGGCTCAATTCAGTTATGTGAGTCATAAATTTTCATGTATGAAACACTAAAAAAACAAATATCGATCCAGAATTACAAACAGTAATTTGGATTCGAGTTTACGGGCAGCTATTAGCAATTATGTACCAGGATTTTCAAAACTTTCAGAAAACCACTGCTAGTTATCACATTAATAAACTTGCATTTGTTTTTTCTCGTGTACTTATTAAAATATCAGATTATTATTATTTAGACCTTTTTTATTTTTTTTGCTAATTAAAAAGGTCAGGGGAACCTTTTAGGTAAATCCGGCCCCGACAAAACCGCTTCCATCTGAAACCTAGTCTAATCTAACTTGACATGATCACCTCACCGTATAGTTACTTGTATAGTACTTATTATACCTGACTATAAAACAATGCGATGTTCCGTTAAAAAAAAAACAGGGTCTCCGCGTGGCCATGGTGGCCGGCGCGTTGGGCACGATGATCGGCGCGTGGTTCAAAGTGGGCTCGTCCAATCCGGACCGATTCTACATGACCATGATCGGGCAGACCATTGTGGCCAGTTCGCAGGTGTTCATACTGAACCTTCCCGCGAGGCTCGCGGCCGTGTGGTTCGGCCCGCTCGAAGTATCGTCGGCGTGTTCGATCGGAGTATTCGGAAATCAGGTACGTAAACGATTATAAGTTATTCCCGTATACGATATCGAGTAACCGCCGCAAATCCGAAAACATGCAGGGGTCTTCGAAACGTCACGTTGCGGTCAATTTTTTTTCAAAAAATTTGTTATTGTAAATGCAGATTGGTGTTTGATAATCAAAAGAGCGACAAAAGTATGAACAATGTAATCTTTTACGTTACGATATGACTATAAAAAGTTTTAAATAATTTATCGAAAAAGTAAGCGGTTCGTGGAGAATCCGACCGTAACGTAACATTCGAATTCGAAACGCCTGGTTTTCCCATCGTTTGCCAACCTAAAACTACGATGCACGCGTTTTTTTACTTAATAACTCTCATTGGCACCCAGTGGCGTATTCGAGGGGGAGGAACCCCCATCAATTAACTTGTGGTAGGTATTTGCTATAAATATATATGTATACAAAAATTAAATCTGCTATCAGAAATCTCCTTTGAAATTTAATGTTTAGCATTTTTTGTACTAGAAAAGTGTCATCAGACACAAAAATAAAAATAAATCACTTCATGGTAAGATCAATATGGTAGAATATAGGCTTGTGAATAATAATTCCAACGTCGCCCACTTCTCCTCATAAAACTAAGTCAAATGCGCCACTGTAGACACCTATTTACATCTCGTACACTCCCAAATTTCGTTTTCGATAACATGGACCCCTTTCGGGTCAGAATACACCTCCGGAAATCTATATAGCTCCCTTTGGGATCCTCTGCGTTAAACGAATTCCGTCTGGTCGTCGCACCTACGTAATATACTTATGTTTTTCAGTTGGGTATCGCGCTGGGTTTCCTGCTACCGCCACTGTTGGTCCACGACAGCGACGATCTCCAAGACATCGCCGCCAGTCTGTCGCAAATGTATTACGCCACGGCCATATTTTCGACGCTGGTGTTCGCGTTAATATATCTGTGTAAGTATAACCTCTCCCCACCCCACCTATGTAAAATACATCTCCGTTCTTTTCGCGGAGTGCGCCTCACGAACGACACGGGTTTTTTTTTACGAATTAGGCGCCGTTTTTAAGTGAACGGAAGGAAGTCGCGTATTTTAAAGGAATCGAGTATCGGCAATTTTAACGAAACGTTTGAAAAAAAAAATCAATTATTTTACTGACGCTAGTGACGCCACTAAAGCGCGACTTACTGATTATCCGTACAGACCCGAGAGATACGTGATTATTATGATTTATTGTATTACTAAAGTACGCTATAAATAGTGCTGTTTATACACTCGTAAATAAATAATAAAAAAAAAACAAACATGGTACAGTAATAACATTATGGTCCTTTATAGTGGTATCCCGTCGAAATGACGCGGCAATAATGTCGCGGTGAAAAATTTCCCCACATAAAAAAATCTACTTTTACATTTTTTTTACAAAATAATGTTTAAGTGCACATATGTGTCAAAGGCAGTATAAGGGTTAAACTTTGTACATTTTGTAGTCGCCATTTATAATGTTTGTATGGGTAACAAACGTTTTTAATGAGTACGAGAAAAGATCGATTGAGACTATACTTACGTACTTACTGGTAATATCCCACAATTTCCAATAACTGCAATTATAATACAAATAATACGTACAGTTCATTTTTGACTATAGGTATATTTGGGTGCCAGTAATTTTCGAAGTCATAAAATTTGAGTAGCGCCGGCTAAAAATTTTTTTCAATACACCTAAAAATAAATCTCCTAAATTTGAAGTTCGATTAAACGTATTTAACAGGTGCTGAATTAAGCTCAAAGTTCTATGAAAAATTGGTTTATAAACTGCATAAACGAACACTACAAATGAACAAAATTAAAAAAAATTGTTGCTTTTTTTTTTAATCGTAGAAATCATACTAAAGAGATAACAAAAAAATAATTAAAAAATCGATTGTTGGATTTTTACATTTTTCTGTGGTGGTGAAAGTGGTGAAATTTTGATCGCGACATTTTGACGCGGATTCCTTTGAAATGCCTACCACATTATAATGTAACGCTCTCCTTGTGTATTGTACAGTCGTCCAGAGTTCACCGCCGTTGCCGCCTAGTTTGGCACAAGCGAACCAAAGGTCGTCGACGAACGCCAACGACCCAAGAAACTTCGTCAAGTCCCTGTGGAGACTGGTCGGCAACTACGGTTTCGTATTATTACTGTTGTCGTACGGCATGAACGTCGGTTCATTTTACGCCATTTCCACTCTGTTGAACCAGATAATACTGTCGTACTTCCCCGTGAGTATACCTGTTGTGCAGCCTACGTCGTCTTGTGTCGGATCAGCGTTATTTGACTGGTAAACCTAATATGGTAACCTGTTTTTTTTTTTTTTATTGCAGGACAACGCCGAGGACGCTGGAAGGATCGGCCTGTCGATCGTTCTCGCCGGGATGTTCGGTTCCGTTGTGTGCGGTTTCGTTTTGGACAAGACGCACCGGTTCAAGTTAGTGTCGATTTTAAAATTAATTAAAAAAAAACTAAAATTCGAAACAATTCCAGACGAACAATATTTACAACCGCGTTATTTTTTATTTTTTAAACGGAGCGTAACGGGGTTTCGTTTTACAATACTCGAGAAACGCCCGCGTAAAACCTTTGTTTTTCGCAAAGGCCCACCGCTAGAGTCGAATTTTTCGGAGTGTATTCGATCAAAAAAAAAAAAAAAAACCAAATAAACCGTAGTCGCGATTTTGCATTATCATAGCTAACCGCATTAAAACTATTTTACAGGGAGACAACGCTGGTCGTGTACGCTTGTTCGCTTCTCGGCATGATTATCTACACTTTCACGCTGTCCTGCGGATACATATCGATCGTGTACCTGTCCGCAATCCTGCTCGGGTAAGTCGCCTCCCGCCGTGTTCGGTGTACGGGCTAGGAATCCTGAAAAAAGGAACAAAAGTTTTAAAATTTTGAATTTAATAATTGATTATCACATTAGAAAAAACAAAAATGATATCATATTATAACACTAGAACACTTTGACGCTTTAGTGACTTTTGACAGACTAAATTTTGTTCACTCAAATAATAGCATAAAAGTATGGTAAAATGTCTTCACAGATAATTTCAATGAATGAAAGAATTGAAAGATATATTGCAACCACTCATATTATTTGAAAAGTTTTAACTTTTTTGAAAATGCTTTTTTTCGCATAATTTTTTACAATTAAAAAACCAAAATTTTCCATTAGAAATATATTTTTTATATTTCAATATTTCTAAAAATCGTATTAAATACAATTTGTTTTAATTTTCATAACTGATTAATGTATTTAAAATTGTAAAATCGTTCTTTGTTTTCCTCGGTCTTTTCTACCGATTTCTACCACGGGCGATTAGTGTACGGTGACGTTATTTACATGGACGTTTCGCAGGTTTTTCATGACCGGCTACCTGGCCGTCGGATACGAACTGGCCGCCGAGCTCACGTACCCCGAGTCCGAGGGCACGTCCAGCGGGCTGCTCAACGCCGTGGTCCAGGTGTTCGGGATCGTGTTCACGCTGCTGTACGATTGGATATTCAACGCGGCCGGCGACCGGAAAGCCAACCTGTTCCTGGCCGTCACGCTGGTCGCGGGCACGTTCTTCACGGCCGCCATACCGTCGGATCTGCGACGGCAGGCCGCGCAGCAAAAGAAATCGCTCATCAACTGAGATCTCCGGTCGCCGCCCGCGAAACCTCTCCGGCCGGCCCGCGTATTTCGCGAACGTATTAACCGTATCGAGCTCCTCCCCGGGGCTGACGGTATTTTTCGCACGTCCCCGTACCGGTATCCGATCGTTGCGCCGAATTCGATATTACCGACGAATCACGAATTGCCGTGGTACCGCGGTAAGCCGAAAACGTCGGATACTCGCGTGCCGGCGGCCAGCGTACACGGGGGTACCGAATCGGTGCGCGTCGAAAAATACCGTCAGTCCTATTTAAATTTAAGCCAACACTGTATAACAATAGCGCAGACACGTAAACTGGATCGCTGACCGTCGATAACAAAAGTGTGGAGTTTTCGAGTCCGATTCGAGGCTATCGATCGGCGGGCTTTAATCGTTCACTTTTGCACCGCGCGCCGCAAGTCTAAAGGCCGGATTTATGATGTGACTACTAGATGTGTCTCGGATTAATAAACGGCCGACCTCGATCAATAGCATTAATACGATAACAATATGGCAGTTAGCGATCTAGTTTGTTCTACATAATGTAATTGTATCATATTTATTTATAATATTATTTTGTCTGTGAACAATAGTTATAATTCATACTGATAAAATGTCACGCATCACGCTCAGTCGATTTTTTTTTTTTTTTATGGATCTGACGTCTCGCTTACTGCAGAGACGCTCAACGTGTTCTAATGGTATAATTATTATTTTATTTTATTTTTTTTTATCGTCCCGTAATTTTATATTATTATACGTTTATCATTGTATGACATCCCGAGAGTCTACTCGTAGGTATATTATTATGTATATGAAATTCAATAAAGAAAAATATTTTTTTCGAATTGGTACAATGTATTATATTGTTGTCGATAGTACGCGGATTGGAAAAACAACAAAAACTAGGGTGTGGGAACTATGGGACATACAAAAGAAAAAAAAATGTGCGTTCTTTGCAATTATTGAACTCGTCCTAGTCAATGGGAAAGGGGGCTTCGTGCCTGCTCCCACGCCAACCTCGCATCACTTTTCAAACACGAGAACACCAATAATCATATACTCCTGCAGGCTAAGTTTTTCTAAATACATTTACTTTACACATAATACCCGTGTTTCACTTATAATAATTATCTATTTTATTTTTAAAAAAATTGATTCTTATTTTCTCACAAAGGGTCGTAAAACTATCAAGTCCTGGGGAAAAACCGCTCGCGGTACGTAAAACGCGCGTTCTACGCCCAGGTTCGCCACTTCATCTACGCGGGGCCGTGCCCTCGGTTTTTGGGTAAAAATGGTGTATGTATACAGGACATGGGTACCTACATAGAGTTAAACTTTACACAGACTTAACACGAACTTAGTTTCGTTTCTTGTTGAACATTCGAACGGCCGTTGGAACCGTCCATTTGTACGTTCAATCCACGGACTTGTATGTCTCACTAATAAATCAATAATTCTATCTTAATTAGGTGTCGAGTTATTTCTTAAAACCTATTTTCCTACGTAACATCATTGAAGAGTCGTCGACAGAAGGTGCCTTCTGTCACATAACAGTGTTGCGCCGAACCGCCAGGTCACCGGGTTCACTACAGCATTATCCGGTTGACCAAAACCTGTAGGGAGCTACGCCACGCGGGACTACATTCGGGCATTTCAACCCAAAGTCCATACGTTTGGGCACAAAATCACAACACGTTTGGACACTGTAGTTTATAGGTACACTGTACAGTATGTAGTTAATAAATATACAATATATAGTTTTTTATAAACATTTTTGAATGAACAATATTTTACTACCCACACCCGAACATGTACACGTTTTGATTGACACTCGGGCAAAAACTACGTTAAAAATAAATAGCAAAAATCAATTCAATTACATTAGAAAAGAGTCTGTAGATAGTTAAAACTAAATATGTAGCTGATAACTGGAATGCTTGTATGGAAAAGAGGAGACATGACCTCAATAGTCAATACCTATTTAAAAATTATGCGAATTCGATATCAATAAAATACAATGTATTAATAATAATAATTATTATTATTATATATGTATATTTAGATACTAAATATTATTTATTTGATTTAACACGAGTATATATTTTCTCACGTATATAATTATAATAATTAATAACGCATGAGTTTTATTATTTATATGTTTATATTTGTATAATATATATATATATATATATATATATATTCATGTATGCTCATGATTCTGAGTGGAGTGAGGAATATATTGGGTATACAATGAATGTTTTTCATTTTTTATTTGTGAACAACTTTTCCACCGGCAATTTCGCTCCGATTTACAATTACGGCACTTTTTCCGAAAGCAAATTTAACTGGGGTGGTATTTTAACGAAGTAATTTTTTTATTTTCCCCGCTGTTTTCCCAATAAATGGAAAAAATTGGTAGTCCGGTAGTCAATCGGACTAACCGGACTTCTTACCAAATGTCCAAATTTCACCATGATCAGCGACCAAAGTGTGCTCAACTTTCAATCATAAAGGCAACCACGTAAAACAGTCATAGGTACTTAAATGACACGGCCTATCTTATTTATATTTCTGTCACATCTCTATCTTTGCTTACAGATATAAACTAAATAACTGTATTCCACCTTTCCACCTAAAATAGAGGCACACCCATCCCCAGCATTAGCTTTTTAGATTATTAGTGGAGCGAAGAAGCTTATGGTTTTACAAAAATGTTTTTTTTCTGTGAACAAGTGGCCAAAAGTTACTTTTCTACCAGAAATTTTGTTCCGATTTTTACTTTTTGTAAGTGTAACACTTTTACTGAAAATAAATTGGACTGGGGAGGAACTTTAGGGAGGTCATTTTTGATTTTCCCTAGGATAAAATTTATAATGCCTATTTAATTATTTTACCATAATATGACATTTATTGTATTGTTGAATGTTGACATAGCAACACTAATAGCTGAACTCCGTTCAGAAATCAGAATCGTCTTTTCGTTAGCTATGGTTTATTGTTGCTTACAGATATACATTAAATTCCCTTCTGTATCCTACCTTCATAAGTCCCCACCTACAACAATAGCGCACCCATCAATAGTTTCATTGCATACATTAAGTCTAAAAATCTTTAAAATTGGCAATATTGTTACCATGAATGGAGTGATCAATTTGGAATATTTTTCATAAAGTACAGAAAACAGCTCTTCTATAATCATATTTTTAACCCTTTGTGATGAAATCATGAAATGTTTTAAAAGAAGATTAGTCATATTCCAATGTTTCTAAATCGTTTATAATTAACTGCAATATTGTAATGCAATTGGTATGAGTCATCAGACAACTCGAGACTTGAAGCAATAGGTTTGTCAACTGCTTCAAAAACTTCAGCTTGTTCATAGTGTCTGGTCATGTAGTGAAGAAGTTATAGGGTCAGTTTCAATTTCAACATGAAGCTCTCGAACCTTTTTTGGTCTATTGTCAACCTTAATCTAACAAAATATAATAAGTATACTAGAGAAAATCTGATACATAAAACAAAGAGTATCCATTTTAACCTATAAGCATTTGTGCATTGAGAAATAATCACTATTTTTGTATGGACATTTATCGGCTTTATCAGTTGTACATTAACTATATTCACAGTAGCCTATTATATACAATATTGTACATGTACATATTCAATATTATTATGAAGTTTTATAATTATATATTCGATTAGTTAGTCTCTAGCAAACTGGTAAGTATCTCAATCATGTTCTGAAATAAATTAACTCACATTGGTACTTACAATACCTCACATATAACGTATTGTTTATGAAAAAAATTGTTTTTTTTTTTTTTAATATAATTATTTTCATAATTATCTGCATTTGATTTGTTTTACTGTGTGCATTTTGTTTTATATGTATTTATTATTAGAATTTCAACAAAATATTATTCATTTTTAAAGTAAAATACTTAATTATGTTTATGCGTATGTTCTAATTTAGTAATAAAACACAAAATAAACAAAGTTGTTATTAAAACACAAATAAAAATAAAAGAAATATTGATGAATATGAATAACTATGGATGAGTAAATAAGACAAAAATATCACGCCAGTGCCTATGGGTATATGCCTATGTTAATTTGACATTCAAAATATTTAGCGTTTCATCAACCCATTTTGGTCATGGGATCAATTGCTGAATAAAAATTACTACTTCAGCTCGCCACTAGATTCAAGCTTATTTAAAATATTTTAAATCAAGGCCATAAACATTATAAGTTTATACCTTAATTCTTAAATTACTTAAATCAATAATTATTTTATGTAATCATAAATCTATAAAAATAATTAATAATAAAATGTTTTTAATGCATGTATCTAAGGAAAAATGCTATACAAATTTTAACTAATATTTACACAAATAATTTAAAAAGCATTTTGATAAAAAGTGAAAATTTACTTTGGATAATTTGTAACTTGATTTATAAAAACTAAAAATTAACTTACTCACTTACTAAAATTGAGTTACTTGCCCAATTTTGGAGATTAAAAATATGCATTCACTAGAATTATATTTAGTCCAAAATCATACACTATTACCAAATTAAAGATACATTTTCTTGACAATATTAAATTTATTAATTATTAAAATTATTAAAATCTAGGATAAGCGTGTTTATTTTAATTATTGTTAAAATTAAAATAAAATTTGAATATAACTTGGAATGAATTATTTTTCATTTTTGTAGACAAATACTGAAATACATAATGCAATTTTTACATTTTAAATAATATTTTCATAAAAATTAACGTTTTTATCATTCACATAAAAGTTTAGTATAAAAGCTAATAATTTCATTTATAAAAATTTTTATTTGTTTAGCTATATTATAAGAAATTTGGAACGCAAAAGTTTATACCGTTATAAATTTAAAAGAATTCAGATTTTGACAATAGTTTTAATTTTAATAACATAGATACTTTGTTTAACAGCTATATGACACCCTATTAGAATATTAGAATAAAACTTGATTCAAAAATATGAATAGTACTAGTCTCTAAATTTGACAGAATAGAAAATATGACAAACCTCAAAAGTATTATAGATTTATTAACTACTAATTTATCAACAATTATCATAAAAAAAAAAAAACTTATTACATATTTTATTAAATGTAAATTTATTTTATTTTAAAAAAGAGAATTGTTCCAAAAATGTTAACTGTTTAATAAATTTAAATACAGTATTAGTAATTTTTGTTTTTTTTTTTTTTACAATAATACTTAATGCTGTATCATTATGAAAAATGTCCCAGTTGTTTATATAAAATTTATTCACACTTCAAAATATTTAGCTGACCAATTATAAATGGAAATTGTTGAATACATTGAACAAAAAATTCAGGAACATTTGTCAACTATTATTAATACAAAAATGAGTTTGTTATTCGAGAATAAACATTATATTTTTTGCCGTAAAAAATATGTTTATTCCATAAGTTATTTACATAATAAATATTATTTATTCAAAAATATCTAATTATGAAATTGGTTTGATCTTGAAATGCAGCGATATTAATGAAAATACAAAACACTTAAGATCCTGAACAAGATAGTAAAATGTTCTCAGACCCTCAGGGTCTTTGGATGTATTGACATCCAACAACGATCCAGTCTTTGATGTTGTGAACGAAATATGTTCATCGTCAATAACAATCTCAAGCTCTTGTCTGCCGACTCTGTCTGGTGGAGGCCACAGGGCATCATCCTCATGCATTATCTCGGAATCTGAAACAATACGCTTGAGCTCATCGATGACTGGCTGATGAACGTATACTTCTTTGCGAATCATTGTGTCATTCTTGTAGTTAGAATTGTTGGCGTAACGCAGTTTACCATCGGGACGGAACTCGAATTCCAAGAACTCATGACCAAATTTTCCTACAAAATTAAAAGTGCAGTAACACCAATTATTTTTTAATCCTATTGCCAATTCAATTTCATTCAACCTATTTTTTTATTTTTAGGCTCTATTTAGAGACACTAAATTAAAAACAATAATTTTACTTAAACAGATTGAAAATAAAATACATGGGTAGGTATACTAAATTTTAATATCAGTAGTACTCAATACCTCTGACCGTCATATACAAAGAAAATGATGTGTCCATTTTACCAATATTTCAATCACAGTTATGTAGTCATAGGCATTTAAATTAATGTATCAATTATAAAGTCTGGGAATGATTTTTCCGTTTCAACTAAACAACATTGAAAAATGTGTCGTAAATTTCTACGGTGCCATTAATAAAAAAAAACTATTTCAGATATCTCGTGAATCCGATAGGTTTTTCAATATAATTCGATGTTTAAATTAGCAACGTAAAGCCGCGAATAACGAAACGAAATAAAGGGTTATCAACAAATAGAACCACCCGAGAGACCCACCAGGGAAAGGGTTTTTGTTGTGAATATTATCAAATTTTCGAGTAATAAATACGTACCTTTGTGTCCGATGTAATAACGCAGATAGAATTCTCCGGACATTTTGGCGGAAGTAAATGTGAACTTAATAGGAGAACACGAGCTTTAGTAACAAATTAACAATCCACAAGAACGGATAAATGGAGAAGTTTTGTCAACACAAACGGCGGTCGACAGGCGGTAAACGGCACGGCAACAGAGATTAGGAACGCACAGTGTCGCCGCGCAAAAGAACGCGATAATTCCCGCGGCGGCGGTACGAATCCGCGGCGCCGCTGACAATCGTCTTCCGGGGTGCCGTTCGGCGCGGCGCGGGTCGCGGGCGCGATCGATCCGCACAACGCGTTTCTTCCATGCCATCGCATCGCCGACGGTTGGTCGCTCCGTGAATGCATACTCGCACACACGCGCAAATTCGCGACGTCCACAGACCGTGACGCCATCTTATGGCCAATACGCGTTTATTTGTGTTGGGCCGTACGTACGTGACGGATTCGGATAGCGTGATGGTGGCGGAAACGCGTTCGTCGGGAAAGTAGCGTAGAATCATCGTCGAGCCGTCGTCGATGCGCCAACACGGTCGCATGTTTTGTATAAATAGTTTTGTTATTTATTTATATGTTTTTTTTTTTCCGTTCCGTTCCCCCGTTTCGTCTCTTCGCCGTAGATTACGTACCTATCATCTTAATAATTATAGCATATTAAGTAATTCGTGATAGTAAATGTCGTGGATATAGCAAATAAAAAATATAAATAATTATAATAATAATAATACAAATAATAATAATAATTATAATATTAATAGTAATTGTATTAATAATAATTAACGCAATAATTTAAATCGGCAAAAAATGTCGCGATATCCGACGGCCGTAGATCGTTTTAGATAGCGTCGGCGATAATAAGTGCGTGCGCGGGCCCGTTCGTCAGTGCCGCCGTCGCCGTTTTCCGCGGTGTGTGTGCGTGTGTACTACGCGCGCCGAGTGCGACCAGCAGCAGCGAGCAGTTTGGTAGATAGTCGCGAGTAGTCGTAGTCGTAGTACGTAGTGGTGAGAGTAGTAGTAGCGGTCGCCAGTGCGCGGCGTGTCGTGTACCAGACGTGTGCGTGTCCCGTGTCCCGTGAGACGGCCGACGAAATGGAATTGCGGTTGCACAGCCCCGTGGGCGCCGATCCGGTCGCCTACAAATGGCCAATGATCATAGGAAGAGGCTCGGTAAGTACCCGCCCGGCACTGGGTGTAGTACCGAACGAACGTTTGAAACGCCGGGCGACGAATACACGCTCGGGACCGAGACGTTTGATAACGGGAAGACGGCCCGGGATCTTTCGTCGGTTTCGGGGACGGCGGGTGGAGGGGAGGGGGGTCGGCCTTTCGGGTGTCGTTGGACGGCACGTAAATAATACCCGCCGTCGCGCGTTTTCCGACGTATCGTACAAATTACGATGATAATGGTAATAGTAATAACAGTAACGATATCGCGTGTTTGTCGACGGACGACGATGATGACGGTTCATTGAACTCGTCGTCGCCGCAGTCGGCCGACACTGTTCGTCTGTCGTCCCAACGCGCGCGCACGGACGCGCGGATACCTACGCGCACGCACGCCAGCTTTCGGCGGTGTACACCTATGGGCAATAATAATGATAATATTCGTTTACGAGGTGATAGCGAAACGAATAGAAAAAAAAATAAAAAATAAATACCTAAACAATATTAGTATCTCGCGGTTTGGTAAAAAAAAAAAAATCGATAAGCTCTCGCCGACGACGCTTTTTTTTATATTTATTTTTTTCACATTACCGCGTCATAATCCGTCGTCGCGCGCGAATATTGAAATAAAAAAAAAAAAAACCCCAACCTATTTAGGATTAGCCTAACCGATCGGCCGCAAAAATCGTTCCGCTATTTCTCGACGATCGCGCGAGCGTTTCGGATCGCCCTCCCCGCAGCGAGCGTTTCGCAGCGGACCTTTTCGTTGGCCTTTTTTTCGTTTTTTTTTTTTCCCCCTGTATCATTGCCCTCCGTCGGACGCGTACGAACGCGACGAAATGCTCGTTCGGTAACGCCGCGCGCGTTTGTTGAATCGTATTATTATAATTGTTGTTGTTATTGTTATTACTATTACATTTGTCTATACCTGCCTACCTGCGTGCCCCATGACCGGGTACCGAACAACAACCGGCCGGTGATTACGGTGGCCTTTTTTTTTTGTTTTAAACGCGGCGGCGTGGTGCGTCTCGTTAACGCGTAACCCGTACGGCGGCCGAAACCGATGAATGATAATAAATACGCGCCGTAACCGCTATTGTTTTGTTAATGGCGAAAACAACGTTAAAAACGTAATCACTAACGACCGTATTCTTTTGCGTTTCAGGACAAACACGACGGCGCACTGGGAATCATAGAAACAATTAAGTGAGTACCTAAAACCGGCAAAAAAAAAACGAACAATTCCCGCCAATTATCGTCGCGTTTCGATCGCCCGCCCGCCCGTTACCGCGGTCGTTTTTGCAAACGCCTTTTCGCGGTTATCTCGTATCTATGACGGCGCGGACGGCCGTTTCGCCGTCCCAAAACACGCGCGTTTACCGTACGGTAAAATGCCGATAAACACACACACACACACACACACACACACAAAAAAGAGGGGACACAGAAAAATACATCGGACGTACGCGAGCGTGTAAATTCCGCGGACCGCAACGGCGGAACACCCGGATAAAAATAGCGAGGGGGTGCGCGTTCGCACACCTGCCCGCTCTCGTCTCCTTCCTTCCCCCCCACCTCCCGGGGCGCCGCTACTAACCGGTGGCGCCCGTGTTCGCGGGAAGAGGACTTGCGAGTGTGTTTACGACGAAACTGTTCGTTTTACAGTCGGGCGCGTTGTGCGTGCGATTGTCGCGGGGCAAGTTTTATTTCGCACTATAATCCGCACAAAAACAACGCGGGCCCTGGAAGTGTGGAGTGGGGGGGGGGGGGGTTGGTGTGCGTGCGGGAGAACGCGTGGAATAAATCGCGATCGCACAATGTGTATGGTTAACAGTTAATAATTGTGCCGTTTTTAATCCGCCGACGGCGTTTGTACCCGCGTTTGTTTTCGATCGGTACCAATCGATAACAATCTCGTGGTGCCGGCGTACCGTTTACGGCGGGTCTAGAGCGGCGCGGACGTTATCGGAAGACCCGGCGCGTGTGTCCGAAACCATTCGGGGCCGGCGGAAGAATTCCGTCCCGTCGTCGTTTGATGTAATTTTCGCGTCCCGGAACCGAAACGCATTTTCGCGCGATACCGGCGATAAGGTTTCCCGTCGTCGCGCGTGCGGTCGGGCCGACCGACAGATTGTGTCCGTAGAAAACGGAGGGAAAAAAAAAATCGACGTTCGAAAGTACCGATTTCGTGTGTCGTACACGGTCGCTGCTGCACGGGTACGTTACGACTGGGCGAAATATTCGCGCGGTCTTTTTTTTTTCCGGTTCAAACGCGTGTCCGAAAACTATCGTCGCGTTCTATATAAATTTTAACGCCCGCTTCGCGTTTACGTGCTCAACACGATTGTTATTATTATTGTATTGCCATGCCGAAACGTTATCTGCGTTTTTGACACGTGTGCGGTAATTATTATTGTCGGTACCTACAATGTGTACAATCTGTCGCTCGAGTTTTTTTTTTTTTTTTTATTATTTTTAATACGCACTTTTCCTCGTGTAAAACAAAAAAAAAAAAATCGAATCTAGAGTAATCTAAATATTCATTTTTTTTTTTCCTGTACGCGCGAAATATCACTCGTCGACCATTATATAGATACGTACTATAAAACCGACGCGTAACCGAGTAAAAAACCGTCGGAACGTTACGGAAATTTCACCGCGAAAGGGCTCGATCCACGAGTTCCACGAGTACAATTAATTGGTATTCGGTGAACATTTCGAATACTGGCCGCGGTCGTTCGTCAACCGAACCACCGACCGGTCGTAAGTGTTGTTCCCGTTTTCCCGACGGCGTATCCCCGATTATCGCGAAAACCGCGTACGGGGATAATCGAAAAACGACCTCCCGAACGCGTCGCGCGATAGACACCGATAATCGCCGTAAACACGTCGGTCGGACAGTAAAACCGATCCAGAATTTAAAATCCTCGGTCGTGTCGTCGCTCGTCCCCGCGTGCTGGCCGACGGTTTATATTTCCGGACAAAAAATACGGGAACGCCACACGGAATAGTATCCGGCACGTTAAAAATTGATAATTATTCCGTCGAAAAATGCGCGCGGTCCGGTTATTTTCGGTACGCCGCCGACCTTGGAAGCGGTTTTTTTTTTGTCTTCTCATCGACCGTCGACGATTCGCGCAATATTATCAAATTGTGTTTGTTTGTTTTCCTCCCGCGGCAATCGTACACTTCCTGTCGGCGGAGCGTTGGGCGGTCGAACTCGCCGAAACCCGCGATTCGTGAAATTGTTTTGTTTATTTTCTCGAAAAACCGACATTCACAATCGCCGCCGCCGCCGCCGTCATATTATTGTGTCCATTATTCTCACGTCCTGCCCCGCGCGCGATCGTCGTCGCGAAGAAGCGAACAGAAGTATTAGGGAAGGGGATCATTACCGATTTATTAACGCAGACACAGTTTAGGAGGCCGCAAACCGGTTGTATCATCATCGGTTTAACGAACTCTGGCCGCCGCCTGTCGCCACGGTCCGCCGTCCGTCACCCGCGAGGCGGCGGCGGTGGCTCGCACGCGCCCGCCCGCGTATAGTAAGGCCTCCTCCGACCGGCCGATCGGCGACAATAATTATTATTACCGTCGTCATCATTACAATATCATACGTACGGGTACGCGGCGTTTTGTCCACGGTTGCCCGTTAAATTATTACCCACCGGCGGCCGCGGCTATAATAATATCGTAATAATATACGTGTGTCGCGTGATCGTGAAACCCGTTCTCGTTTCGTCTTTTCAAACAACAATTATTATCGTTCGTCGCCCGGTCGCGTTTACCACTACACCACCCGTTTTCGGCGACCGACCGGCCTGTCCCGCCGGCGCGCAGGTGCGTCGATATTTTGTAATACCCCCGCGAACGCACCGAACGGCCGGGCCAGCCGCCGCCGCCGTCGTCGTCCGTATATGCGACGCGTTCCCGAACACCCGTTTGTGCGTTTGTCCGACAAACGCGCGTCGCCCCTACAGCCGGCCGTACAGAAAAAATTACCTACAATGTATGCGTTTTGTATCGAACCGATTATTCGAGTGTATACCTGTGTTTGTATTGTATGAATCGTACGGCTGTGAAATTGTGTACGTGCCGGACACGCGGGCCTGCCCGTTGTACGGACGGGGCAATGAGCGGTGGAAAAAAAAAAAAAAGTGGTAGAAAAAGAAGAAGAAGAAGAACGCACAGCACAGCGACACAATGGCGCGCGCGTAACAGCCGCGGCAGCGGCGTGTGCATTATTCGGCGGTGTGCGTATAGGTATACAGTGGGTACACGTATATAGCTTAACAAAAGAACGAAGACGAGAAGGGGACGAATAGAAAAAAAAATTGAAATATAAAATGTACGAGAAAAGAAAAGAAGAAAAAAAAAATGATAAATACAATATGCGCGTATTGTTGTATAGGTATACACGGCTGAGAAGAAACCTTGGTCGGAAAACAACCGGTGCCAATGCATTTTTCTCCGCCGGGGCCCGTGTCGCCGCCGCCGCCGCTCCGTTTACTTTTTAACCGGTACATTTTTTTTGTTCTTCCCGTTTTTTTTTTTTTTTTTTCCACAACGCGACGACCACGTTTCTCGTCCGCCGTGTCTCCGTGTAGTACGCGGACGCCGCCGCCGTTCGGCTTGCCGGCCGGCCGGGCAGGAGAGCGATGACCGTGGTCGCTCGGGGCCAATAACACGACCGTCGTGTTTTCAAGGACACGGCGGTTTGGCGGTAACCCTCCGCCCCGATCGACCGGATCCGTGAATAAAAATACGAGATTCCTATTGTCTGATCGGGAAGAAAAAAATAAGAAAAAAATTGTATACACATAATATATTATGTATACATATATATATATATATATACTACGTAATAATAATATTATAGGTGGGTAATGAGAGTTCATAGCCGCCGCGGGCGATTTCGCATTTTGACCGGTTTTTGTTATTTTTTTTTCTGTCTTTTTTCGTGTGCGCTTTGGCAGGCCGCCGCCGCCGCTAAACTCTGAACCAGAAAAGAGTTCGTCGCGCGCGCGCCCGCGCGTCATTGTCTCCGCTCTGCCGGGACGGTTCTTTTTCCGGTTTTTCTGTTACGGGCCGTCGCGTCATTATTACCCGCGGTCAATTGTGTTTCGTTAACAATATTATAAACGGACCGGACAATCATTATTGTTATTAGTGTAATACGTACACGACCGAGACTCGGTTCGACTTGACCCCGGACTTTGGGATGGCGTGCTAAAATTTTAGACGCGTCGCAGAGGGACCCGCGAGTGCAACGCCCCGACAATACCCCTTTACTCGACACCTGTTGTGTAATGACAAAAGCGCGTTAAATATGAAATATAGGTACGTGAATAAAACATTCGGTCGATACTGTAAAAAATAAAAAATAAAAATAAAACGTATTGGGTACGTATATCCGGAAGTGTGTTAATTTTAAACTCGCGGGTGCTAAAGACCCCCTTGCTCCTCCCCCATTCTCCTAGTTGCGTCTATGACTCGGTTACAGTTCACCCATTTCGAAAATTATTCCGAACCGCGTTTGAAAAAAAAAAACAAACGATCTTTTTTCGCGTACGTCCAAATCGCTGTGCGTTCGCGACACCGAAAATTATACGTAACACATATGCTATACGAATTAAGTATTTATTCATTTTTGTTTTTTTTTTTTTTTTTTTCATCGTCAAATCTAAAAACTAAACATTCGGGGAGTAAATCATTTACCAGTGATAAATAGCTACTGCTTTCTGATAGTAATGATTGTCGACGTGCGTGATGCGTCCTACAGTTGATTTAAACTAAAATAAGACGAAAATAATGGCATGTAGTAAATTAGAATGGAAAAATGGCTCAACATGAGTATTGAACAAAGCTATTGCTATACCTCGGCAATGAAACAAACAAGTCGGATATAATCATTGGGATTGCGCTGGGAATATGAGCTTTTCGAAACAAAAACCGCTTACTAATCACGAACTTGTGTGACTCGACACCGGGGAATACGTATTGAAACATGCGCGTGGCGTGTCATCTTATTCGGATTTGACACCTGGAGGACGGTAGGCGCAATCGGGATGGAAAAAACTAGAAGCATTCGAAAAACGGTGATGGCGAAGAAAAATGCTAGTAACGAATGAAGAACTGTCGAGAAGAATTAAAGGGGAAAGGAAAATATTTCAGAAAAAAAACGGAAGATGATGGAATGTGTGCGCCTTAAATTCCGAAGGACGTGGGAGTGCGGAGGTATCGGAGGAACCGAGTTATGGCAGAGAAACCCGGTGCGGTCGACCAAGAAACCGAGACCGCCGAGACGACACCGTGAAATACCCACCAGTTTTAAATTGTATATCTGCGGTATTGAACACTGTTTGGGAAACGGCGTTCCGGAAAATGAGAAAACCGCGTTTTTTTTTTCTCGTTTATTACGAACGGTAATTACGTATACGTAATTTGTTCGTAATCGGCTGTCGTTTATTAACGATTTATCGTACACGAACATTAAATCGGGCCCGCGCTTATTAATGACCCGCAATTAATATTGTCGTCGGCTATTGTCAACAATACATATTGTATATTGTGCGGTTCGATTTTCGATGACGATTCGTTTTACTCCCGCCGAACAAAAAAAAAAAATAAAAGAGTCGTTACGATGCGTACGGTGTTTAATAAAATCGCGTGATAATATCGTTATGTAATTTTTAATATTTTTTTTTTTTTCGTTCACGAAATTACTCGGATTTATCGGAATAAAAATACAACGACGAGATGATAATAATAATATTATCGCTTAAACTACGAGACGGGTCGTAAACTCGACGACGACGACGACGATAATAATAATAATAATATTATTAAACTTAACATTGGTCGGTCAAAAGCGCGTGCACAAGGTCGTCGAATTTAGGGCATTGTGTCCCGTCGGTAAATTATTATCAAGTGGGACGTTCGGCTTGGAGTAAAAATTGTATTTATAAATAATTCGTCTGAATAACAGCGCGACGATATTTTTTTCGTCTCGCGTATATTTATATTTTTTCTTCCATTTCCGATATTATAACACGGTCGTTGTACAATAATAACGACCCGCGACGGCGATCTCTTTCATTATTCGCGATTCGGTTGTGTTTGTACAATGCTCAGAACGGGAATAATCGCACGGCGATTACTCGGATGTGTATGCGTTTTATCGATTTTATGTCACAGCCTCTGCGTTTACCCCCCCCCACCGCCACGGTAGTGCAGAACGTTTTGTATTAACGACGATAATATTGCGCGCGGGCGAACGTTCGGAAAACTGTTATCTGCGCTCTGTTATTAACGCGTGAGATAACGAAAATTAAAAATAAATAAAAACCGTCAACAATTTCATTGTTACCACCGTGTTGTGATAGCAAAAGTGACATAATAACAGCGTTGATGTCAATCGTCCGTTTTGGTTCGACCTCATCGGATCCTGGACCCCCGTATTATTTGTGCGTTGCTTTTGCGACACGGACGGCGTTTACAATTAACAATAACAATTACCGCGGACGGGTTATAATAATAAACGGAACGTTTATTTTTGCGCGAACCGCTCGTTATACCCCGGGCGGTGTAGGGAACGTGAATTCCGGTACAAATCGAACTCGTTATTTTACCGATAGCGGTTTTTCGCCGCGTATCGCGGCGAGACGCGGTAATAACAACGTTTGGACGCCGACCGCGAATGATTTCGGTCGTTACCGACCGTCGCGTTGGAAAATAGCGGCGGTCACAATGATCGGTTCCGGCCGCCGTTAAAAAATTGATACACCGTGCGAATTTCCGATATTCCGACGAGGCGCGAGCGCTTTCAAACGCGGCGTCCGATGAACGGGCAATTTACACAACGGTAAGGGACGTAAAGGGGCGTCGCGCGGTAGCGCGTTTTGTAATAAACGAGTGGGCCCGTGCGACGTTTTTTTTTTTTTTTCTATCTGTATTTACCCGCCCGTAAAACGCGGTCGGGCGCCACTGTCCGAATATGTGATCGTCGCTGACGGATTTCGCTCGGCGCCGTAAACACCGTTCGGTTCCACGTGTAAGCAGATTATCAGCCGTTATCGTAATTGTTTCGCGTAGTCGTTGTTTCGCAACACGCAAAGAACGCCGCGTGCTCGGTATTCCGATAGCGCGCGAAATCGAATTGTCGAAGTCTGTGGGTTTTTCGGTGGGGGAGGGGGGTTCCGTCCGCGGGAAATTATATTCGGACAGGCAGCAGTTCCGTCCAAATAACAATGTTACACATGCGCGTATTACCGTAACGCAACAATGTAATATTGCGATCGTTGACGCGCCGTTATTGAATACCGACCGACCGTCGTTTTCTGCCGACGATCTTTGTACAAAATTAAACCGCGTATACGGTTTTGTGTATTTTATTACGGTAGACCGTGAAATTTAATCTCCACATATTTTAACGGCGTTAATTCTATAGCCTAACCTAATATGAAAAAAAAAAAACCGATGTTTACCTACTCTTGCAGTCTCGCTTATCACCACTACGTGTATATTTTGATACAGTCCTATTCGTTTTTTTTTTTTTCTATCTCTGAATTGAAATTGCCCGTACAAATTCTAAGGTTCTTTTATTAATATAGACCACGCCTATAGGCGTACGGTTTAGTATTGAATTTTTCACTGCAAGGCTAAATGTACGAATATCGCGTCTAAATTTTTAGAAAAACGTTTTTAATAAATGTCGTTCTGGTTTTCGGAACTCTTTGTGTAGGCGTAACACTTTGAAACATGGAATTAGTTTCCAAAAAAAAAAAAAAAAAACTGGAGTATTCCGCAATCACCGCTGTTTTTTTTTTTTTTTTTTTTTTTTTTGTAGCCATAAGTGTATAGCTATAAAATTATCTCTTTTTTTTAAGTAGTTCGCTACTTTTATCCACTTAAAAGATGGAACTTTTTTTTTTGTTTTTATCAATCCTATAAAATTTACTATCCTATATATATTAGTTCTTACGATTAAATTGACGTGTAGTGAAAACTATCGAATGGGACCCTCCCGTCCACTTTGAGTAGTCTAACTCTTCTCGATTAAGTCGAATTCGTATATTCTGGCCGAATCACGTACCGTGCGCTCTTCTAATTAGTACACAATATCTCGGGGTACTGAATAAACGAAATTCGCGCCGTTTTCCCGCGAAAATCGAACCGTTGTGCGCGCCGTGCGAACACTCCCGAACACCGTGCAACAGTATCATTATAACGGTCGGCAGATAAAAACAATTCCTAAATCGTTCAATGAATCGACGTCATTGTAACGGAACGCCCGGCCCGGGCGAGACCTTCCGACCTTCCGACTTCGGGAAAGAGCGACTGGTAAACCCCCGGGGAAACGTATCGCGGATTCGTCACAGTCGAGAGTGAACACGCGCTTCCAAATTACTTCCCAGAAATGTCAACCGGTTCATCGTGACGGTATAACATTGTGTACCGTTTTCTCCGCGTGTATCATAACACTATTACGACTTACACGCTCGTCGTCACATTACCTCCTAGTTTACATTCAGCCCGCTTCCGTGGCGGTGAGCATAAAAACGGGCAGCGCGAGTATGTAAACTCGCGCTGACGCTGCCGTCAAGAGCGGTAAACTGAGCGGCGCGAGCAGCGACATAACCGGCAATGCGATCAATCCGGCCAAGCAATGTAAAAACACTCACTGCCGTCGACGCCGAAGTATTTTGAGGAGCAAATACGGCAGCGGCTGAATGTAAACTGGGTGAGGTTAGGTATCTCCGTTTTACACCATTAATCGCCTCCGACAGGTATTTGCGTGCGTGTACGATTCGTTAATATAATATCATACACGGCGGGTACTCGGGGCGAAATCCGGTACGTCCGGCCGGTTTTCCGTCGTGTATTAATAGCGACCGTGGAATTGCCGCCGTAAACGACGAGAACCGATTAGATTAGATTTTATTTTCGTTCGGTAAAACGACGAAGCGAGGGGTGGGGGTCCACGGCGGCGCGAAAACTCCTCTGATACTCCGATTGTCGGCTTAAATAATGTTCGACTTTTAAATCGGTCGTTTTCGGCGGGGTGGACCCGACGCGTTTTTCCCGACGGTCCGGACGGCGGACGCTTGTCGGTTTTGTTTTCGATTGGACGTATCAACAACGCGGTAGTATTAACCAACATCAAACCAGCGCGTTTGTATTTCACGTCGGTTTAACGTTTTAACTTAGGAATATCGGTTGCGTTCCGTTTCAACGTCCTCCCGACGTTGACGCGTGTTTACCGTGTTCGCGTCATTATTTGTATAATACGTCGCGATCAAATGGTGAATCGAGGTATTTTCCGTGCCAGCGGCGGATCCGCGGCCCGTTTACGGAGAGACCGCTCGAATCGGACAAATGTCCAATCTACCGAATTTTGAACTGTCGACGTGAAACCGTACATAAGAAACCCGTGAAGCGATTACCGCAATAGAACTGTAACAAAAACCGTACCGCGGATACCGTTGTGGACGCCGATATAGATCGCGTTCTCAGTCACGAAAAATATTATTTCATTTAGTAGCGTCATAAAAAAACTGTTACGTTATGCGCGATAAATATGCGACAAATAATAATTTTTTTTCCCTGCGGAAGGAGGGAGGGGAAAGAGGCACTTGCACCCGGTGCTCACCTCCCGGGTCCGTCCTGGCCCCGTGTTGATTCGGGCGTTTTTCGTTAATCCCACAAGTTCTCCGGAAGCACCGCCGGGAGTGTGTACTGTACACCTACGTTTTGATAATATACTCGCATACTACAAACGATTCGTACTTTAAATCGGGTAAGACGGTAAAATATTATTATTATTATTATTGTTTCATTTCAAACGACCCACTTCGTTCCGGCGCGCGATAACAATATTATTGTTATCTACGATTTTTCAGACGCGTGTTTTGTTATTAGATGGGTGTATTATATTTGTACCGACGCGTTTCCCGTTGTCCCACTTATCTCCGAAACCAAAACGTCTTTATCGATATCCCATTTTTTTTTTCCGCGCCCGCGTGTTTCTACGATTCGGATAATATTGGGCGGGGGAGGGGAGGAGGGAAACCGCCAGCCTGCGCTCTATTATTGTAATAATATCTTAAACAGATTATTATTTCGCGAATTACGTAACGGAATTTAGCGTCGGTGTGAACACGAGTAGATAATTATTACGACTTCGTTGGCGCACGAGGACAATGACCTTCAATTTTTTTCTTTTCTTTTGTAGCTATTATTATCGAAAATGTGCGGGAATCCGAACGACAATGATGTTGTAAATTGAGAATGGGTCGTCCAGTGGTAATACAATAATTACCTGAAATTATTCTCTCCGGCCCCGTTTTTCGGGATTTCATCGCGCGGTAATTTTTAAAAAATAATCCAGCAAAACTCGTCGAAAGAACGGAAAAATTTACGAAAAATATTCGTAGCTACATGACGAAATATCGACGATAAATTATGTTTGCCTTTTCTAGACGTTGTCAAATGTTTAAAATACGCGATTTTCATGTTATTTTTAGTCAATTGATTTTAGTTTTTTTTTTTTTGGGTTTTTAGTAGTATACGGATAAAATTATTTTACCAAATATACGTGCTTCGCAATTTATTACAAGGTTCAGTATATTGTACCATGTTGTAATTATAGTGGTTGAGCGTTATGATTTAGGTAGCTTTTTTTGTAATGGTTTTATGATCTTAAGATCAAATATTGACGAAAATTATCAAAATTACATCATTTCTAAAGATTTATTTATATTATAAATGCACACGCGTGTACCTCTAACATAATATATTATCCTCTTTTTGAACCCAGAGGCAGGGCCGTATTTAGGGGGAAGAGGAGGAAACAGTTGTGGTTAATTTTAAGGTGGCCGCCAATTTTTTGAACATTCGTGTATTTTACTACAAACATTTTCATTTATTTATTTTTTTTATGTTTAATAATCGTATTTGTAGGGATTTAGTTTTGCCTTTTAATTTTTCGGTACTATTTGGATGTATAGTTGTTTGACTAAACAGAAATTTAACATTGGAAATTTAACTGTAGGTTGTTATCCATCATAAGTTGCACTTACTAGTGTTACAACAAAAAAAGTTTAGAGTGCAATGTATTCAATTTTTTTTATAAGATCTAATTTTGATAAAGATCGTAAATATTACGGCCGTTCGAGTATAAGGTACAAACTATGCTCAGAATCGTTTTTCACAGTATCAGCTCCTTTTTTTTGTTTTTGATTTTTGAGGCGTTCTTAGATTTTTTGCACTTTCGGGGAGCTTTTTCGGACGCTTTTCTTTAAAATAACATTTATCCAATTAAATGTTATATTATATTTATAAATCTTAATATCATTCCCTGATTTGATGATATATTTCATCGGCTATATAATCATAGTATCTGATAACATCGATTTGATTAATACTGATGTCGTTTAATGGATCCCTGCGGCAATCCTCCTCGCTTCCTTGCCAATTCCATCGACGAATCCCGCGAATTTCGCCATTACAATATTGTCGTAGGCATTTCTCATTTTCGCGGTGTTTCTCGTTAAATTATTTTTACCTTTCATACGTCTTTGTGTTTTAATTATCATCGTCAATTAATAACCCGCCGTCGTGCGTATCTTATATCAGTAGATTTGTTCGATTCTTCTGGTCTTGATATTCGCATATATAGAGAGATGTCCGCCATGCTTGTTTCGATACCTATAAGTCATATCCGTCCGACTCGGACATTCCTCTGTACCGTCACGTCCTACAAGTTTCTGCGATTCACCGTTAGCGAATCGTCCGCTTTTTGCTGCCGTACACCGTTGTTTCGGATTTCTGATATTATGTTATAGTGATGGGCGTTTTACCCGGTGAATGTATTTTTTGTAATACAAAAACCAATTGATGCGGTCGCCACAACACTCCGTTACGGTTGTTTCCTGACTTTTCCGTGGTTTTTCCCGGTTTCATTTTATATCAGCGCGAGTATTAAATAATTTGTGTAAACCCTTTGTTAATGGCATTCATTTCGAACTCAATGCCACTATTAAAAGAAAAATTTACCAACGTGAAAACAATAACTAGACCTTTATTCATAAAAAAAAAAAAAACAAACAACTTAAAATTCAGAAACAAGTATATAATATACCTACAATAGAACTTGTTTATTACAATCAGTCGGTGCCTTTGTTGTTGACAACTAAAATCATTGGGCACGATTTACATTTAATTAGACGGTTTTTCAATTTCATTTGCAAACTTAAATATTATCTCCCGATAATCACGTTTTCTACCGTCAACGCTTTAGCCGGCAAAAATTTAACAAAATTGTTAGTGTGTAAGTATTTATATAGACTTAAAACTATCGTTTTACCAAAGAACGAGTTGTTATCGTATGTTCACACATCGACTGTGTGAGCACAGTCGATATCAGCAGAAACGTTACATGTAAACTCCTACAGTCCTAGAGGCCTTTTTACCTGTCGAAAATAGATAATGTAATCTCCTACATAGGCCTTTTTACATTTAAGACTCCGAGTGTAGCGAGGAATATACATTGGTTTTACAACGATGTTTATTTGAGATAATTGCACTTAAATGGGAAAAAACGTACGATTTTATGATTTCATTATTTACACGCACGACGTTTTATACCAGAAATAGTTCCCTAATGGAAAAATGATAAGACCTTGTTTGTTGCATTTTGGATAAATTTCCGTAGATACTTAATAAGATAATAAAATGTAAAAAAAAAAATTTAGTAAATATATTAACATATAAGCATCGTATCGGAAATTCTCGAACATTTCTATAATGTCTACGTTATTTCCGTAAATTGGAAATTTAACAATCTCTATCTCTTATTTTTGTAGTTTATGACCGATTTTTGCCTACTTCAAAATACCTTATTTTACTTTTTACAATTATTTAGCATAGGAGTTAACGCTATCTGTTGTAAGAGTTAACACTATGTAGTGTAGGAGTAAACACTATCTTTTGTAGGAGTTTACCATCTCCCGATCGAAATATACAATTTGATGGGATGAAGAAAAAAAACAACAACAAAACGAGTAGGTATTCGCCCGAATTTCGGGTAGGTCGACGGGTTTGTTTATCCCACGGCTCATCGTCAATTATGTATGTAGGACGTTAACCGAAAAAAAAAAAACTAGAAAAAGTAAAAGTGTCGCGTTTTTTTTCGTGTATAGAACGCGCGTTCCCGAGAAACGAATTGTAAATATTAAAACGCGAAACAGAATACCGCGGCTTGAAATCGAATAACATGTTAACATAAATAATAACTACGGTTTTAGCGGTTTCGTTGTTATAAACATTTACGGCTACACGATATTGTTAGCGCGTCAACAAAGTATATTATGTTTTAATCTGTTCTCGTAATTCGTGTGCGGTTTTTTTTTTTTATTCGCGAACGAGAACAAATAAATAAAATAATAGCGCGCGCACTGTGTTACGATTCCCATAGCGTTGCCCGCACACGAAAGTCAAGATCGTCTCGTTTACAATATCGTACGTGCATTTTACATTTAAAGACCCGATTCGTATTATTATATTCTGTTAAAATGCCTAAAACATTATGATGGTAATATATGTTCTCTAAACAAAAACAGCCCTTGAAATATTCTCGCATTACACTCGCTTGGAAGAAAAAAATAATCAATAAACGTCAGTGTATGCGATTTTTTATTTTTTACAACATTCCATAAATAATTAATGACACTCGCGTATTAAAATAGATTAACAGTGCACTTGAGTGAGAGTGAGAATATAATATAGGCTTGTACCTTATTTAATTTGTTAAAACTTTAAAATCGCGGTACGCCGGTAGCCACCATGTTGATAGTAAACGGTAACTTATAACAGGTATGCACTACGTAACACACCGAACCTTTTTGTCAAAATGCTACGGAAAAAAGAAATTGCAAATGTTTTCAAAAATATATTTATCCAGGTACCGCATGATCAAAGTCAATATTTGTTTTTTTCTCTCGCGATTTACAAAATATGCGAAATAATATTGTCAAATGTGCGGGGGAAAAAAATGAAAAATAATAATAGTTTTTCCTACGAACGCGGAACTAAACCAATCGGTAACATTTCTCGCCTACTCTTAAAAACACCGCACGCGAAGCTCAGTGACGGCGCGCGAAAACGTACAAATTCTCCCGGGTCTCTCGTTTCCAACGATACGATTGTTTATTATTTTTCGTTCGGCCAAATTGTTGCGGTGTCAACGGCCCGATATTCTTTTTTGCGCGGGCCGGGAGGGGTGTGTGTAGAATTATTCGCGTTTTAAAAATACGCGTCCTCGTCCGTTTCGCGAAATCGCCGTATTCCCGTTCGCCGCCCCGCAATAACAATCGTGCTATTTTCGTGTATCGCTTACGTAAATATACCACGATATAATTTGATATTGTACTGTTACAGTTACGAATTATTTTTACGACGACGACGACGACGACTATGATAATAATAATAATAATATTGTATTATTTAACCGTGAATATTCCTATATCTCTGGCGCGTATCGTCGACAAAACAAAGCGTATTTAGGTCAAATATTACACTGTACTGTGCGTGTGCGTGCGTCTGTATGTTGTGCATTCATCGTCGTCGTAGTAGTAGTAGTAGTAGTAGTAGTAGTATATATAGCGACACTGTTATAATATATTCCGAGTAATAAAAAAAAAAAAAAAATTTAAAAAAACCCGATAAGAGCTATACAATATTACTCATAATATTATCAATTAGTGCGTATCGCTATCGTAATGGAAATTCGTCTGCACACGGTACCGAAATAGACACTCGTAATTACCGCTACTTGTTATACTTCGCACGATGGGTGGGCCACCGTTGTAGGCGAGAAGGTAGGATATTATGGAGGGGGTAATGTTTAATATTTTTAGTATCTGTGCGCAACGAAAAACGATTCGGAGCGAAGTTTCTTTTATACGTGTACGTTAATTTTCCCGAGATTTCCCCCCCCCTCTCCGGTTATTATGAAAACCCCTGGTTAAGTCAAAAAATGACCTCCTTAAAGTACCAATAGAATTTCCTCTCAGGGAATGTGCCAAACTCGATACGTGGGAGCAAGATTTCTGGTAGAAAAGTGGCTCACAGATAAACACCATATAATTGATAGTGTTTTAACGAATTTTAAACAAAAGTAGGTATAATACCTTAACCGTACGTGTACATTCGAACTTGAAACTCGGACATAAATAAATGACGATATTTTTATATCCGTATAAAACCAGAGAAAAAAAAATTAGAACGCTTCAAATAGGTAGCTACAATAAATAACTATGAAAGAAAACAAACAGCCAGAATGTTTTGAAAACTGTACTGTAACCGTGTATTCGGTGAAAGTTGCAGGTGTCTACGATTATTTCCAACTGAATTGCTTGCTACAAAAAAAAAAAAAAAATGAAATTAAAAGAGAAACCTTTATTGCCTAAATATTCCCGTTTTCCTTCCGCCCTCTCTCTCCCCCTCGCTGACTTTTCCCAATTATTAAGAAAATTCGGAAAAAATAGCGGTGAACAATCGTGAATCGCGACGTTCAAGACGAAACAAACGTTTTTTGCTTCTTCCGGATGAAATGGTACACGTCGCATTATCGAAACCAAAACGCGTATCGCTCGCTACGCGCGCGGAATCTAAAAGTCCGTGTACTTTTTTCAATTTTTTCCGTTTGTTATTATAGAAACGTAATTCGTTTTGGTTTATATTGTTTTGTAATACGCGGCGCGGTGCGTGTGCGTAGGTTGTGTTGTAGGTTTTTACGTGCGTGTTGGTCACGTGTACGGGTCTGCTGCCAAGTATTATATACGTACGCGTTACATATTATAATAAATAATAATATTCTCGGGTATCGTTATTACGGTAGTCGACGTTTCAAAACTGGTTTAAAATAATATAATATTACGTTTAGCGGTGTAATAATAATAACGAGAATAGTTGAAAACGTATTTAAAAATAAAAAAACCTAACCGAACGGTGTACCACTATAATATTATCACATAAACATATTGCAGTATGTATATAGCTACATTTTTTTTTTTGAATTTTTTTTTTCCGATCGTGTTTTTCACGAGAGTTTTTCCACGCCCGAAAACGTTACGTTGCGATATTGTCGCGGGGTTTTCGCCGTACTCGCCGGGACGTAATAAAATAACAGGCCTCCCGTAAACACGTATGCTTACACTGTTGCCGCAGGATGAGAGGAGGCCTACAACAACAGCCGCGTATAACTGTTGCGAATTATCGTCGTCGCTGTTGTTGTTGTTGTTGTTGTTGTTAGCGGCAGCGGCAGCAGCGTTGGAGAAATGTCCTAGAAAACTTCTCTGCTCTCGCTGACGTCGTCGTCGCGGTTAACGGTTTTTTTTTTTCTTCCTCTTGGGTTTTTTTTCTTTCTTTCTCTACGAGTGAGTGCGTGCGCGAGTCACTACTACTACTACTACTACTACTACTACCACCGCCGCCGCGCGGCCACGAGTAGAGAGTGCAGTGGCACCTGTGTGCGGTGCCGAGCCGAAGCCACGGGCCGTGAGCCTCGCGAGTTGGAACCGGTTTTCTACTACGCGTTTTGTTGCATAACGGTCCGTGGTCATAATAATAATAATTGTTGTGCTCGGCCGTACAATATAATAATAATAATAATAATATAAATGGTGCGGCGGCCGGTCGAAACGATACTGTAACAATATTTTACTCGTCGTGTCGTATACGAATACGAAAAATGCAATATATTATTGTTGGTGCTACACGCGCGATTGCATCGACCCGCGCGTCGTGTTTCCGCGTTGCACGGCGTTGTCGTATTAACGTCGTCGGCGAATCGTATTTGTTTCGATATTTTTCGTTCGGACGAGAGAGCGTCCGTCGTCGCCGGGTTTTTATATTATTGTTATTTATTATTATCATTTTATTTTTATTTTTTTTTGCGCGCGCGCGCGCCTCCGTTTCCCGTCGGGCTCTGGGAGGAAATAGTGAAACCAATTGGCCGCCGCGCTGTGCCCGAGAGAAAGGAAATCACGAGGTCACGCGCCGAACTTGCTCGCGGCGCCGTCGGTGCGAAGGATGAGCACTGATCGGCGGCGGCAGCGGCGGCGGCACACGCACAGAACTCTCCGGGGCGCGTGTTACCGAGTCCGTCGTCGTCCCGATTATATATTACGCACGACGCACGATATTATCGATCGGCGCGACCGCGCGGGAGGGGCGTGGAGGGGGGAGAACGAGGGGAGAGGGCTTCGACCTCTCCCCCGCCTCGGAAATGTCGTCGGCGGCACCCCGGACGTGCGTATACGGTGCGGCCGGCCGTGCGTGCGTATGTGTGCGGATTGTGGCCGCATTCCCCGGTGACGTCACGCGACGTTTCGTCGTCGTCGCGAAGAGGGTAGTCGGTATTATTATTTTTTTTTTTTTTTTTAATTTTTTTTCCTCCTCTCGCGGTTCGTTCCGCCCGTAGTTTACGGAGGGCGCTGCGCGTGTTATTTTCCCCGTGTCGCGTCGTCGTCGCCGCGCGCGCGCGTTCGATAGCGGCGCCGCCGTCTGCTCGTTTGTTTCGTTGTATTATTATTGTTGTTGTTGTTGTTGTTGGTATTTTTTTTTTCTTTTCGGCAAGACCCCATCCTTTCTCCCCCCCTCCCCCCCTCGTCTGTCGCGGGACGCGTTTCCGATCGTTCGAACGCCCGAGCAGAACGGTACGGAACGAACACAAACGATAATAAAATAGCCGATATCGCCCCGGTGTCCGAGAAAATTGTACTGTACCGCGCAGTGTACCGAGATTTTTCGCCTCCCACGGCGCGCGTTGAACCGATCGCCCGGCCAGGCGACGCCGTCGACGATAAAACACGACGGCCGTGTACGCGGATCGCAGTGCGACGGCAAACGAAATATAATTATGCGCGTGAAATATTTCCGCGTAAACGCCCGACCGACGGTGTTTACCCGGCGAAGAAGAACCCGTTTGTGTTTTACGCGTAACGCGGGGCCGATATGACAAATAACAATAACAAACAACTGTTAGTTTTCGTGGGTTTTGTGGATTCGCGTCGATATTGGCCTTGGCCGCCGGTCGGTGGTCGATTCCCCGAGAAACGCCAATGGAAAAAACTCCCCCGCGCATGGTGTGACGGTCTCCAATGCGAAATCCGTTCGTTCGTATTGTTATTATCACATCGGAACGTCAACAAGAACGATGATTAAAATACGCGTGCGATTTGCGATTGGTGCGGGGGTTGGGGGTGGGCACTGCCGAGCGGAAACTGTCAAACCACTAGACGGTTTCTTGAAACTGTCGGACGATCGAACGGGGCCCGTACTATTGATAGTTCGGTCGGATAAACGCTCGGCAGTTTTTCTAAACTACCGATAGCCGAAACTGCACGCTAGGCGATACTTATACCACATTTCCCGAACGATCGGCGGATAAAACGAACATCCTATCGCTCGAGTGACAATCGATAGTAGTGATGGTGGTGGTGGTGGTGGTGGTAGTGTGTCCGCTGCATAATGATCGTATGAAAATATAGACGGACGGGGTCCCGCCCATCATTTTTGTACGAATAATTTCCTATCGGGTCCCCGGCGTTTCTCGAACGTGTCCGTTGTACTCCGCGACAAATACCATTACGGCGAGATCGGTTTTGGAAAAATACTTCGTCGGAAGTCGGCCTTGAAGTAAGTAAGTAGTCGACGACCGTGTTCGGAGCGGCCGCGTCGCGGTTGCCCGCGCGTTTCTTGTATGTCTGTTTCGCGAAAAACAATTAACAATTTTACTATCGTGTCCGTCGTCGTGTAATCGATAAGAACGCGTGGTGTTCCCGCGAGAACCGTCGTCATCTCGCGGCGGGTGCGTGTGTGTACGACCGCGCGGGGGGGGTTTCTCGGGCGGGTTCGTCGGTTTGTTTTATGAAGACGAGAAAAAAAAAACCGTCGCAGGTTCAAACACCTCTGCGCGTTGGCTATTCGTTTAATCCGTTTATATAAATACCCGCGGTTCGCGTCGACAACCGCTGTTATCGATTATTTAATATTTACCGTATTTGATGACTATTTTCGGACGCGCGATAAAATGCCATTTAATTCGGTGTTTTCGTAATCGCGCGTGTGTAATAAACTTCAATAAACCCGTTTTGCGTGGGGAAATCCGCGTTGTCGTCCGTTAAAACACGATAATAATTTAAACAAATAATTATTTAACAAACGATAATATTATGTGTATAAGTGGGTTCGGAAAAGACCGCCTCCCCTCCCCTCCCCCTGCTCTTATGTGGCTTTGACTTGTTTAAAATAATTTTTCAACGCGTTACGAAATTAAATAACAAAGGTATTTTTTCAGGGAAAAAAAAAATGTACACGTCGGAGAATATTTCATCGAGTAGCGTTAAAACCGTCGATGGGTTGAGGGGGGATGGAATTTAAAACTACCGTTTTCGCTTTTTTTTTTTTTAGAAATTATTTCTTTACGTTTTTTTTTTTTTGCCGATTTTAAACGCTCGTGTATAAATATCCGTTCGTCATTTATTATAAAATAATTATCGCGATATGTTTTTGCCGGGAGCCGGGGGGGGGGAGGAATTCACGGTGTATAATCGGAATTATTCGGGAACTCCCTCCCGCCCTCCCGTCGTATTTGTATTTTTGGCCACGTCTCGGAAAAACGTAATTACGCCTACCCGTTCGCAGGCGCGTTTTGTGCCTATTAGTTCTCGTTTGTTAGGTTTTGTAATACGTTTAAAGCTGTTATAATATTGGTGCGGGCCGGTCGTAAACTACCGGGTAATTTATTATTAATAATCGCGTACGAAAATAATCGGCCCGGCGAGAACGTTGTCGTGTAATTATTATTCGGGGAGGAAAAAAAAATTAAATAAATGTTAATACCGCGTATCTACCGCATGTTCCGACGAGTCGCGCGCGGCATGCCCGAATAGTGATTATCGTATAACTTTTGTCTTCCGGGTTATTATTTTTTTTTTTATATTATATTTATTCAATGTCACACGTTCGAAATAACGCGCACCTGTTGCCGCTGCCGCCGCCGCGACTAGATTTATTTCTCTCTCTCTTTTTATGTTCGTCTCGAGTTTTTCTCGTAATAAAAAAATAAAATAAATAAAGCCGTTTATCCGATTCTTGAGAGGACGTTATGTTATACCCGCGTCTACTGTCTCGGTCCGACTGCCGGGTGACACATACAAAAACAACGTTTGCGCGAAATAAGTAAAACTGGCACAATTTCGATTCCCGTTGTGAAATTTACAGAGAACGATATTTCGGAGGGAATGTCGTCGGTATTTTTTGAACTGTACACAATTAAAAAGAGCAAAAAAAAAAAAAGGTTTATTTTATTTCGTAGCTTTTATATTGAACTGTACATTTCGAACGATAAAAGAATCCCAACCGACATTCCCGACAAAATATTGTTCTCCGTAGATTTCATAATCGGTACTTTTACTCTGAAATCAGAATGTAGTTAGTTTTTCGTATTCCGCGTGTGCACCGTTGTTTATGCACGCTGCCACCCGGTAGTCGGACCGGGAACGGTAGACGCGGGTCTAACGGTCCTCTCTTAAACCGAGTTGTGCGGCCGATGACCCTTCCCCTCCCCCCCCCGGTTTGAAAATCAACGCTTGTGCCGGTGAGAACGGTCCCTAGAACATTGTCGCCGCCCGGGCCGGCGTAAAATACCGATATCACAACAATTACACGTAATATTGTATTGTATTGTCGTCGGGCCGCCGCCGTTCCGTTCGACGCGTCCTTGGGTGTCAGAGGCGTCCGGGTTTGTTGTATTTTTGCCGTGCGCGCGGTGCTGCGGACCGCTGTTGCGCCGCGCTCTCGGCGTCCCGTCGTCCGAATAATTATCATCGGCAGTTAACGTGTGGAAAACGCGGACTCGGCAGTTCCCCACTGAGGAATCGTGTTTCGGCGACTAGTTTTCGAAACGCTTCTCGGGGGCACCTCTTCCGCGTTCTTCTTTTCGCCCCGGTGCGCGCGACGCGATCGCGTCCGTTTAACGTCGTGCTGAAAGCCGTCCAGCGACGGCGTACAGAAACCCCTCTCCCTCCCACCGAATCAAAATGAGACTCATTGGTCGGTTACGATTTCGCAAACAATAATATTTTATTTCATTTTTTTACAGAAAAAACAAAAAACAAAAACTTCTTCTGTAAATTACGGCGGTTCGCACGCATTGTACACCACCGATGTACGTACTTACTTATACCTCTCGTAAAAACCGTCGGATTTTGTTCGGCCGCCTATGTTTGCAGCAGTTTTAACACGTGCATACGAAAATGACGTAGTATTCGGATGACACGACGTCGTGTTTGTAAAAGTAGTTTTGTTTTTTTTTTTTTTATCTTCTATCGAGTTTAGTTTGGGTGGGCGATGCCTACCTACTCACTAAGATTTTCAAAATGTATATTCGTTATTGCGTAAACATAAGTCGGGTGCCTGCGCAGTGAGCAAGGACAACTAAACGTTGGTATTATCAACGTCATAATAAATTGTTGCCAATATTGTGGAAATAGGAGGGGAAAAAAACCACTTCGTACGAAAACCTTGGCCTCAATTTATTCCATGCAGTTATTATGCATTTTTTGTGCATCAAGTTCACCAACTGCAGCGGTGTAGATTAAAAATACAAACAACAATCGCCACTATAATACTGTAATAATATTATAATCTATTTTCTATTTTCAAGTGTTTAAACACTTTTAGTAAATATTAGTATTTTTCTGTATGTATTTATATTTATTTAACAATAAATACTATATACAATGGTACCTAAAAGACAGTTTAAACGTAAGAAAAAAAAAAATTGAATATTTAAGATTTCGTTCGTCGTATTTACATTATATTTGTTTTTTTCTTTTGCAGATGGGTATGCGACGACTTTCCAGACATGAAGATCCCTTTAGAAAACAATATATTATGCGACTATGACACCAAATCGTAAGTTTTTGTTGAATTTTATGACCCGCGTTACCTGAATCGAATCGTTTATTTATGTGTTCTGTCCTGTAGATACGACAGCATGAAGTCTTTATGCGACAGGTTCAACAAGGCTATCGACAGCATGCTGCAAATGGTAAAAATAAAATATCGATTTTTTTTTCTCCTAATTTTTATTCAAAGGGTTGTATATATTCTACACGGGGTGTCTTTTGTTGTTGGGGTGACGAAAAAATACGAGGGTTCGATAATATTGCCTACGTGACCTTATCCTCGTAAACCAACGGCTTACAGCCTATAGCAGCAGCAGCAGCAGCAGCCCCCTATATGAATAATACACACTGAATGGTCCATAATAATAATAACACAATTATCATGCGAATCTCGCCAGTGCTGCCAAATTAAAAAGAAACTACGATATTTTTTTTATTTACTTTTTCTATTTCTATTTTAGTGTTATAATTATATAGGTAACGTCCCACAGCATATTATAATGTCTTACATTATGCCTTGACTTATCCCGCGACCCTTAATTCTAAAGCGTTCTTATAATGTATAATTATTATATATTATGATTATTATAGTACACCCAACTGTCAGCCTATCAAACTGCACATGGCTACGATGAGATACTTTCTATAAAATTAATATGGTCTATTGTGAACCCTGATGGCAGCTGCCCTTTTTAGTTTCTACCACATCTCAGTTGTTCCTTACAATATTTGTTCCCTTATGTAATTTTATTTACAACCTTCGTATTCGGCAGTATCACCTGCCTTGCCAGATGCAATAGTAGACATTCAGACGTTAATATTTATATTACTTTCCCTTATTCCAGAAGATAGGTTCCTATATATAGACAAAATATTATAATGTGAGACATTTAGACAATAAAAAAAAATAATAACAATCAAAAACCATTAACTAATAATTTCACTTTTTGATTTACATTAAATACTATTAAAACACAATTGATAAAGTTATTGTGCGTTATGACTAAATTAAAGACAACATACAAGTTAATAATCATTAGAAATTTTATACTGTGGAGTACCTAAAGTAAATAATTTAATTTGAATTTTTTTTTTAATTTGCATATATGTACTTTCAGAATAAGGGAACATCTTTACAAAAATCCAGTATAACGGCATCCAGAGGTCTTCTCAGACACATAATTCAACAAGTGTACAACGTTTCCGTCACCGACCCTGATAAACTGAATCAATACGAACCTTTTTCACCCGAAGTACGTTTACCTCTAATGTGTTTACTGTATAATACTAAAGTCATATTTATTAAGAAATTCCAGTTTTTCATCTTGTTGAAAATACTTTTAACAAATCTCTTGTAGCTCAACTAAAATATTTGATTTACTTTTTTCCAAAAATGATTAAACTAATAATGTGTTTCATTTTAAAAATAATTATTGATTTCCTTTTTTTTTTTTAGGTGTATGGAGAAACATCGTTTGATCTTATATGTCAAATGATTGACCTTATAAACATCACAGAAGATGATATATTTATTGATCTCGGATCTGGTGTAGGACAAATAGTTTTACAAATGGCTGCAGCCACTCAGTGTAAAATCTGTTGGGGCGTTGAAAAAGCCGATGTGCCTTCATCATACTCTCAAGTAATCATTTACACAATTTGGTTAGTGTATTTCCTAAATTAATAATTTTTTTTTTTTTTTAATATTTTCAGTACATGCATTCTAATTTTCAAAAATGGATGTCTTGGTTTGGTAAAAAACATGGCCAGTATCAACTAATAAAAGGAGATTTTTTGAGTGAAGAACATCGAGAAAAAATAACTAATGCAACAATTGTATTTGTGAACAATTATGCATTTGGACCTCAAGTAGACCATATGTTAAAACAACGATTCGCTGACCTTAAAGATGGAGCCAGAATAGTTTCATCAAGATCTTTTTGTCCGCTGAATTTTCGAATGTCTGAGCGCAATTTGAGCGGTAAAATTTCAATTTTTTTTTTTATTAAAAAATTAAATAATTTATGTTTGCAATTATTATTTTATTAGATATTGGAACCATAATGCATGTTTCGGCAATGGAACCTATAACCGGTTCAGTTTCTTGGACTTGCAACCCTGTAAAGTATTATCTACATGTTATTGATCGAACAAAGGTAAATATTACTATTGACTATAATTAATTTTGATTGGATTCATATGATGGAGAGATGCTAATGAGAGCTTATATTTCAACACTACAACATTGTTCTTCAAATGCTTATAAGCTTTACCTAATATTTAACCTTAATTAAATATGGCAAACTTTAAATGATAACATTTCTTTTTTTATTAATGTTGTTCCTTTTTTTCAATTGGATATTATTTTTTTTTCTCATGGGATTATTTATGCATAGTAGGAATGTAGTAAAGTATATTATACTATTAAATCATAATTACATTATCTTAACTACATTACTATTGGCTTCAAAATTATCGACAACAATTAACAATGATGAATAATTATTATTAATATAAATTTGTGTTATTAAGTTACAACAAATAGTTAACTAATAATCATACATTTATAACTATACTATTAGTTTCATATTATTTATTTAAATTCTCAAAACAACAATATATTTTATTTTTATTTTTTATTTTTTGGAATTTACTTACAAAAATATCTGTTCATTATTTTTGAATAGTCTACTTTTGCTGCTTTTAGTATAACATTAATAATTCTTTGCTATAAAAACTAATATCTCCAAATTCTATACTTACACTATACAAGGAGGCAAAAGGGTATGAAAAAAAAAATAATAATAATAATATTATTTAAGTAAATTTACATATGTCATTTGATTAATATTGTAAATGTATATTTAAATAATTAATAATTATTAATATATGTATATTTTTTATTTTTTTATTTAATTTTTGCCTAAAGGTTTTTTTTTTTTTTGAGTTTGTGAATTATTTATTTTATAATTTTCTGTATAGAAATGGTTATATTTTTGTAACTATAAATATGGAAATTTATAATTTTTTTTCCTTTTTTATTTATTTATTATTTCTATTTTTTCTTTTATTTTATTTAGTTAGAACGTAATATATATATATATATTTTTTTTTTAATGTGTGTCAACAGCTCGAGCGGTATTTTACTCAAAATAAGCCTCCCGTTTCAAAATCAAGGGTAATTAAAATTAAATTTGCTTGCCAGTTTAATAAATATTTTGAATTGTATTTATTGATAATATAATATGAAAATATTTGTTTGACTTGATTTTCTTCAATCTGCAGTTGGTGTCCAATTGTGAACTGAATTCATAAAAAGGACTTGCAGTTAAATGTATAACATTTATTAATATATTGCTTTTAATTTTAGGTCAATGGAGAAAAACAAAAATCTTTAACACCTATTTGCGTTATTAATAATTCATCTGATGATACAGATTCAATGTTTAGCACTTTAAATGGGGAAAGTGTAGATGGAAGTAATACAACTGGATTAACACCTGATAAAACTAAAGTCAACATCAATGGACGCCGTGCATGGTCAGAAAATGGTGGACAAAATAGTGAGGAAGAAAATGAGAATAATTCAGGTATTTTTTTATCATGGTACAAATATTTTTTTATATACATATAATTTAAATGTAATATAATTGTTGTAGAAAACAACAACAGTAGAGTTACTAGGAAAGTAATGAAGCGCAATACGCCGCGTCGTAGTCGTAGTTTTAAAATCAACACAGCTGCTTTTCATGGCCGTTCCCATTCTGAAGTAACTGTAACTGAGAAAAAGACTTTAGAAAATAATATTACGAAAGCAAAACGAACTATATCTAATGTTCGCAAACAAAAAGCTAAACGAAAGCCACCTAAACGTAATGTTAAAATATCAGCATCTTTGAATTTACTCCATAGTGAAACAGTATTAAGTACAACACCTGAAGTCTCAATGAGTATTAAAGAACCTCCCAAAGGTTGTGTTGATCATACTTTGACTTCAATCACTGGAGTTGGAGCTGGATATGCAGCTACTCATAATGAACTTCCTCCGCCTACTGGAGATATACCGTATTCATTGCAATTATTACTAGACGATTATAAAAAAGGGTTTATGGATATGATTAATGTGTTTAAAACTCAGAAATTTCGCGAAGATGTTGAAGCTCAAATAAAGGCTGAAAAAGTAAGACAAATCATTTCTTATATTTGTTTGAATCCATGTGTAATGTAATAATATAACGATTTCAGGAAAAAAAACAAAATTTAAATATGAAAATTAATCAAATTAAAAAACAAGTTGACCATTTAATTAAGGATAGTTGTAGTCTCTTAAAAACTCGGATGAAAGAACTCGATATTTATCCTACTAATACTACAGGTGATGTTTTAACTGCGGCTAAAGTAATTGTATTAAGGCATAAAGATCTACAAACTAAAGTAGCAAAAGCGAAAAATGAGGTATGTTATTTAACTTTATTTCACATTAAATAGAGACAAACCCTATTTTATTAACTCTATTTATAATTTATTTTTTAGACAAATGTATTAGAAAACCAATATTGGGACTTTTACTCAAAAAGAGCCGCTGAGGTGGATGCCATTGGTTCAGCTGGCCAATTATTAGCATCTCAAAATGAAAATTCAACGGATCAAGAAATGAACACTCAACGATTGTTAATGACAGAACTTATAGCCAACCGGAAAAGAAAATACACCTTATCTTCATCTATTGAAGCTGTCAAACATGAAATTAATATTTTAGACAAACAAAATAATGCATCTAGTAAATTCAATAATTCTTTGGCTAACCAAATGTGTAATAACAAAAAATCAAGAATACGCTCACAAGACTGGCCAGAAGTGCCAGACATAGCACGGATTGATGAAAAAAATCCAGAACTATTGGCACAAAAAATTCTAGAGACCGGTAGACAAATAGAAGCTCGAAAAATAATTGAAAACGGTAGACCAATAGAAATAACAACACGGTATCAACGCTCAAATAAAATGTACATTAGAAACCCATCGGATACCCCACTTAAAGTGCCTTTTTATGATGAACACGTCAAAGATCTCATTACGAACGCTTTAAACGAACCATCATCAAAAGGACCAGATTATACCGTTGTGTCACCTGCTAAAGTTGCCTTACGAAGACATCTATCTCAGGTAAAATACCTATAAAATAATTATATTTCATTTTGGTTAAATTTAATAACTTGCTGTTTTGTATGTTTGGTATTTTTTTTTTTTTTAGGAAAAAATTTCCCCTAGTCCATTAATTCAACAACAAAATGTCATAACGAGAACAATTGGTGATGTATTAAATAACGAAATTGAAAGATGTTTGGAAATGGATAGACAGAATCGAACACTAGAGATCAGTAATCAATCCATAATAAATGCTGTTGTACCACTGTCTATGCATAATAGAACCAAAGATTCTCCTAAAGCTATTAATCAGACATTACCTTCGGAAAAACGTTCGTTTATGTATATACCATTACCAAAAGCTGAACTTAAACCGTACCAAGAGTCATTATTTAGTGATGATACTCCTCCACCTCATTTAATTACTCTAAAAGAGGAACCTGTCGAAGGGTGTGTATTTAATAATGATTTTACTGTATTATTTGAAATAATTTTAAAAATATGTTGTATTATTTAATAGGTTAGCTGCATCATTGCACGATAGACTATTAGATAATGATGGTGATGACAGTAACGGGGATGAAGGCTTATCATTTAAAGAAGAAAAGACTGAATCAGACACACAATCTCCCCGTAGAATACTCAAACGCAGTTCTGAGTCACCCGTCCCACTGAACACTAAAAAAATGACACCTATGTCTGAAAGACTTCCATCTGAAGAAGGTATTTGAATTTTTAATTTCCGCCCACACTTGTTTTAGATTTTGGTTTTGGCGTGTAATTTGAACTTTTTTTCATATTCGACTTCCAAATAGATTTGTTTATTTTTCTGTCATACAATCGCCTGGTTGTTTTAATGTCGTATTTAGCTTGGCTTAACCTAAACTTCTTAAACATATTTCACAGGCGTAATTTTTAAAGTCTAGAAAACTATATTGTATTATTGTTTTAATATTTTTATAATATTAAACATTCTGGTGGTGGCCATGTACGAAAAAATACAATATACCTTTTTCTGAACATGCTAAATTTGATCTTTTATTTATTTTATTTTATTAATACTATTGTTATGAATTTATGATTATTATTATCATTGTTGTTGTTTATAGAATAAACTTTACTTATAAAATATATAATCATATGAGTTTTTTCTTGACTATATAATGTCCAAACTTTTATAAAATTCATTATCCTCGTGTTTTAACAATCCCAGTATATTGATTGATATATCATATTTTATCAAATAAATATAGTTATGTAAATGTTATTATTTTCAATTACGGATATAAATTTAAAATATTATTTACAGCCAAAAATAATGATTATTCGAACAGTGTTTTAAGGAGTAATTTATTATTTATAAACACTCATTGCATGTTTTGCTGGTTTTTTGTTGCTTGTCACGCTTATTAATTTCTATTTTAGGATTTAATACTCGTACTCTAAAGTATGTCGCAAGAAGTATTATTTAGCTGTATAAATAGAGGCCTTAGCTGGCCTAGTGGAATTGGAATACATAGTAAACTATTAAGGTGAGTGCACTGCATTGCGTTGTACAATACACTAAATTATCTGTATATTTTGGCATGTTTCTTTTGATTGAACAAAACAATAATTTCTTAAAATATTGTTCTTATTTGGTTTGGCGCATGTACAACATTCTATAAAACAAGTTGTTTTTTTTTTTTAATTAATAAATAATTATTTTGAGCTGCAGACATTATATTCATATGTATCATACAGCAGTTCATACATAATTAATGAATTCATTAATAGCCATTAAAATATAAATTGATGTGTTATAATAATATTAGTTTTGTAAAAATTGTATGCAATTTTTTTTTTCGTTTTATTTAATTTGCACGTCTAGTTATGATTTTGTTTTTAATAATAATAATAATGAGTGTGTGTGTATTCTGACTATTGTCACATTTAGTCCTAAAATAATGATAACTGGGTTACGTAATTAAAATTAGATAAGGTTAGAAAAATATATGGTATCCTGACCAAATCTTTTTTTAATTTACAGAAAAAGCACAATTTCATCTTAACAGAATTGTTAATAAAAATTAATATTTGATTATGCTCTGGCTATTACAAACATTTTTCGTTATCAAAATAATCATGCCAATATTTCTTTAAATTTCAAAACTGTTTATTAATAATCTGTCATTGTATCTAGAACCCCAGCAATGGTGAAATTCGGGGTGCTTGGCCCATCATAGATCATTTAAAGCCCCCCTCCCAATGCAGTGGTAGAGCTCTGTCACATTGATTTAATATTAGAGTGGGGCTCAAGCCTCCGAAGGTTTATGAGCTATTTGTACTACTGAACTTCACAAATAATTGTTTTATTATTATTTCATAAAGTAGTTACAATTTGATTATTTTTATAATTCATATTGAATTTTACTAAGCAGTTTATTACATTATGGTACTCCTATTTCATTTAAAATTCTTACTTAACATCATAATGAAAACAACAACATAAATGATATGATAATTAAAATTAAAATATTACATTTTCTTAATTTATTTTATATTATTTTCAGTTTAGTATTTTATATTGCACTCAAATCAATTTGGTTAATATTTTTTTTAATCAACAAATTTATTTAAAAAATGTTTTTTTATCAATAAATTTGTTATATAATATATCTATTGCATATATGTAAAAAATAAATCCCCTATTTCTATAATCCCTAGTCATCACATTATACAATTTATTAATTCATATCATCACAAAATTTTTAATAAGTAGCTAATAATGTTGTAGGTAGAAAGTTGGGTCGGTAGGATACATAAAGTAATTTCATTTATATCTGTAAATGTATTGCAACAATACATCATTGCTAACAAAATACAATTCTGAGTTAAACATATTTCGAGATGCCATGTTATTTTTACTTTCTACATTAGACTCAACTTTTTTATTTTGACCACCAAGTAACAATTTATGATAAACCAAACTAAATAAAAACTTAATTGTCAAATACCTACAAAGAATAAAAAAATTATCACAATATTTTCAAAATATTACTGTAGGTAGAAAAGGCCAATATTAGTATTCTGTGAAAATTTCAGGTCTATGATATACTTAATTTTAAAAAAAAAATCAATTATGAAATTGCTAATGCTGTAAAACTTCCCCATGTTTCCCCAATTATTATGAAAATTATTTGGAAATTACTTTCTCAATGTACCAATTAGATCTAAAATGCATGGTTGGAGCAATATATATGATAGATAAGTTATACTTATATAGAAAAATTATAAAAAAGCATACACATCGTCTAAAAACTAATATTTTAATACAACTAATCATATATAAATGTGATTTATATTTCTTTCCACCATGAAATAATTTGTATACATTATGTATATATAAAAAAAAATTATAGAATACTTTTAGTTTCTAATGTTTCTATGCATGTTTCTTCCATTTCTGTTGCTATACATAACTTTTCTAAATCTATGATCTTTAATCAAATTACATAAATATTTTATTTACCATATTTCATTGTGACACTAAAATTAGTTAGTTTCTATATATACAAGTACAACATTTTATAAATCATTTATCTTATCAATCAATTTTTATTTATGATAAAATATAATAAAAGGGGAAGTTTTTTTTTTTATGAATACATAGTTTTAAACTAAAGAAAATAGTTTAACTAATTTATGTCTCTCTTTGTATTGATACTACCATTCCAACTTTCCTATCCAAAGATATTAGACTGTTAAAATTCAGCGAAGATAATGTTAAAAGTGGGATCTTGGATAAGTCAGTTGATAGAGCAATCACCCAGCAAGTAAGTCGATCTAACCATCAGATTTTTAGCACTATTTTATAGACGAGAAAGGTTACGACTTATCTTTTTTTATTATAGTTTATATAATTTTTCATTTTATTTAAAAATTATCCAACAGTTAAAAATTTGAAATATAAAACCCGATTTTATTTGTATGTATATTAAAAACTAATTCTAGTGTTACAATAAAGCGCAATATTGATTTAAAGAACTAAAAAACAACTAATATTATTTGTTTGAAGAAATCATTAATCTGGAAATTTGAATTTTGAAATAATATTACTTGATTGTTAATTTTATATATTTTGTTAAACTGATGTTAAATTATTATATTTTCATATTTTAGACGAGAAGTGGAATGATCGTATACGTGAAAGATTCGATAGTTTGGTGACGTTTGCATCGTTAGAATTAGATAAACGGCGACGAAACAGTTCAGATGCAGCTGCTGCCAATACTAGTCCAGATAGTGGTATTGGTCATGGAGATCCACCTCCGGCCCTACAGCCTCCACCATCACCATCACCGCCGTTCTCACCTGCTCCACTGGACGGACCATATAGCCCAGTACCTGCTCCAATTGTGACCGCCCCAAACATACCATTAAGGTATCAACGTCATACTAGCCACAAGAAAAAGTCTTTTCGTGATAAGTATCGGTCCACGGGCCCTAAGGCAAAAGCTTGGGCTGCCAAATGGATGGATGCTGAAATTCAAAGCACAAGCAATTTCTTTTAACGTAAGTATTTTTGCAGATATTTTTATATTGCTTAATCCTCCGTGTCCCTATTAATTTAAACTAAAAATATTTATATTTGTTAAAAAAAACTTTGACGCCTGTATGTAACATATGCAAAAATGTTTATAAGTTGTTTAAATTTTTTAATTGCTATTTGGAAAAAATAAATTAAAACATTTCCGAATTAATTTTTATTTTAATAATCTAATAATGTTACTCGTTGTTACAGAACCAATCACTTAATTTTATTAATAAAAAAAAATGTCATTTATTCAGTAATTTAGTTTTTTTTTTTAATACAGGTTCCTTGTTATTGTATTTTTCAACAGTACACATTTTTATTGTATAGATTAAAAAAAAAACTAAATTTTAATTACACTCATAAAGAGTTTATTTTTAAGCAATATCTATAACTGCCTTAGTTAGATTTGTTTACCATTAAATTTGTTTCATTATTATTTATTTGTGTTTATTTATTATTATTACTTTTTTTTTTTTTTTTTTTTTTTTTTTTTTTTTTTTTTTTTTTTTTTTTTTTTTTTTTTATCATGTTAGTACCTATAATTTTAAAAAAAAATGTATATACATAATTATAATGATTTCTCCCATATAGCTTTTTATTTTCTGATTCCATATAGCAATACCAATGCCTTCATATGGAGGTGGTCCCCATTATGTTATAAATATGTATAATACAATTATTTTACAATTAAATTTCAATTTTTAAATTTAAAAAAAAAAAATGGGGGAACTTAGACTTTTTCAAATATCTTTTTTATAATACATTTTTTTTTCAAACTGCCACTCGTTTAAAGTGTTCAAATTTAAATATTGTAAACCACTTCTTTTTTTCGTTTTTTTTTTTTTGTAATTATTGCAATTTGCAACATTTTTGTTCCTAAATTATTATAGTTCTCCAATTTTGTACAGAATAAAATAATATATTGTAGTGAACTTTTCAATGAATGTTATTTATTTCTTTTTATAATATTATTGAGAAACATTGTACTGTAAAGTACAAAATTATGTTACAAACTAAAAAAATATTGTAAATATACTATGTTGAATAATATATTGTTTTCAAGGTAAATATTTTTGTGTTTTCAATCCATTATACCTTTTAAATACACCTACTTTGGAACACGAACTTGTAATTTACTCCTTAAAGATTACGAGATTGCTATTTGGTATGGAAATTGTAAATAAATTAGATTTTTCAAATAATAAGTAAAACTTGGTCTGTTTTGTTAATTTGTCTGTATAAGAAAAACCAAAGTATATTATCAAGTTTAATGTTATTTGGATAATGTTTTTATGTAGTACGTATACATTTTGCCAATTGATTGTAACAAATTGTAGTTTTGTAAACTATAACTATTAAGATCCGCATACACAATGAAATATAACAATTTCCATTGTGGTGATGAAACACATTGTGGCGAAACTAAAGTATGTGACTGAAAACCAACATGTTTTATCATCTCGCTAATAATGAAATAGAACAATTTTAATTTCTATTGAAGCTTGAAATTAAACACTACGTGCCTACCTGTTAATGTTCTGAATCGTAATATTTGATAATTTTGTTCCTGTAACAAATTAAATATACTATTATTTCATAGTATTTTGAAAGTCTTATACATTTTAAAATAAATGAATAATTATTAGTTGAATTTATAGAATTTTTAATCACCTGATGAAAATATTAGTTTCATTATTAAAAAAATTTTTTTCAAAATAGATGCCTCCAAATCTATTTCTCCAAACAGATTGAAAAAAAATCTTAAAGTTTAGACTGGAAGAGTAGAGAAGGGCAAGCCCGGCTCAAGGTGTAAGTGATATGGGTTATATCTATTTAGGGCGCCATTTTTCAGAAGTGGCATTTAAAATGTTTAACGTAGTAATTTATATGTATAAGGGGCGGCAAAAATTAAGCTTGCATAGGTGTCTTAAAATACTCGAGCTGGACCTGGAGAAGGATAATAAATAGTATATCTATTTTTAAATGATTAATTGATAACTCTTCCAAAAAGGAGGCTCCTATTTGAAAAACAATAGTATATACTTATTTAAGGTAGATATATGGTGTAGAAGTAAAAAATTACAAATGGTTTTAAAATAATGCTTAATCAATTTCACAATCATTAAAAAAACAGAAATTAAGTTCACTTAAAATCCTCCAAGAAAATTGCTATTAAAATTATTATCACAGAGAATTTTTTTTGTAACTGACGAAAATTTGTATACGTAATCCTTATTAATTGGTATATGTACTCGGTGGCGTCAAAATAATTGTTTGTATGTGTGGCAATAAGCATTAATTTATACCCATCTACCTCTACACGGTATTAAACCTAACATCCTAATACCAACTACCAATTTTTTAAACTAAAAAATATTATTTCCTGAATAATATTTACATGTTTGCATCATTTAATACATTAATGCGGAAATAAATACTTTAATTTTTAATTAGTTTAGGTAGAAATTATTCATAGGATTATTAGAAACCGATATATTAACATTTGACATAGGGATCTATTGGTTTTACTATGATGTGTGTTGTGTTTAGATATTATTTTTATTTTTTTTTTTCTATGGCTGTGAATAGTTATTCACAGCCAACTAACTTTTCTACAAAAAATCTTGCTCCGAAATATAAAGTGTTCCACGGTTTCTGAAAGGTAATTTTGCCCAGTTAGTGCATTAGAGACGTCAATTTTTTTATTTTCTTGGGGCTTTCAAAATAATAGGTAAACTGCGTATATTTACAGCATGCCACGGCGCGGCGTTACCGATTTCATTATTTTCAGTTTGTATACATGATATTTTCTACCAGAAATAATGCACCAAACGAAAAATCACAACAAACCATTTTTATTGTTTAATTTGGTTGATGAGTTAGAAAGTCGGTTTTTGATTTTCCGTGTAGTTTTTTTTTAAATTGAACAAAACCAAAATAAAACGTAAAAAGAACGGGAAAATTTACGAAAATAATGCTTTTATTATTTTCAATTTTGTTTTTTTGTCGTGATTCAGTTATTTGACTTGGGATTTAAACAAACGCCATTTACCATTTTAGAAGTAAACTTTTCAAAATATTTGAGCTATTTATAAACATTATAATTTTTTTTATAATAATTTTAATATCTTATTTTGACGAAAATCGTAAATACTATACCCGTCCCCATTATCTTACCTTATTTTTATATTTTAAATTTATACAAAACTATATTATTTTTTTACTACAAAAATATATAATCTCAAATATAGCCAAAAAAGTTAAATAATATCAATACTATTGTGTATATATGTTTTCGCTCTGTATAGCTTGTGTACAACTAGCTGTAGCCGCTGTTGTAAATTTAGAAATTTATCAGGTACTATTTATTAGGCATGATTCTCGATAATATTTACTGTCTATAATCATTAGTACTATATTAAATTATTTATTGTAAAACTATTAATAAAATAGTTATAATTATCTGTTTTTACTAATTGAATCACAGTGCATAATACTACAGCAGTCTAGGAATAGACTAGTTTGCATTATTTGTAATCGTATGTCCACTGCTCTTAATATTAATTGTAAAAAATGTACAATGTTTTGTACTGAACTACCAATGCCAGAGGGTATGCCCACCCCTAAAATTAGGTTCGGCGCCACTGTAGACACTTGTGCCATATCCATAACTTTAAACAATATTTTTTATGACTTGTGTACGGTTGGTAGGTATAATATTATTATTATTGTATACGTAGTACGTACGCTCCATTTGAATATCACCCGATTTACATAATAATATTATGAGAGATTGACGACAGCGCAGTTTAGATTTAGTTTTCGTCCGATTTTTCATTCAGTATGTACGCTTTAATGTATCCGTACTTGCGCTGCGCAGCCCTCGTACTTTCGGTTGTCGCGGCCAAAAACTTTATGGAAGATGACAAATTTTGCGAATACCTAAACTGCAATCTAACTCTGGATAACTATGCTCCGAAAGTAAATATACCTATATAAACTTAAACATCCAGTAGGTATAAGATTATTTATTTGTTTATAATAATGGAAAACTATATTCACGCGGTTTAGTATTTTTTTTTTATTTTGCTGTGGTTTTGCAAAAATTTCACTCAGTCATTTTTTGCTTTTTTTTTGACTTTTGTGCTCGTGTTTAGAAACATAACAAGAAAATGTTCCAAAAATGAACTTCCCAATAACTATAGAACTAAAATCAATACTACCTATATACCAGCAATAACCTACTCTAATATTGACGATCGGAGTTTTCTAGTCGAAATTGCGTTCAAAGAAATAAAACTCTAAGGACACATCATAATATAGTAAAGCCATTACATAAACACCTTTCAAAATCGAGAGTTTACAACTTTATAAAATCGACAGTAAACATGTGAAGATGACTGTAAGCGTTTGCTGATTCTTTCCCTTTTAAACCCATATCATAACCACTGTAAATTTAATTATTTTTGGATTCTGCGTGCAGCCTATAAAAGCTATTAGTTTTAATGTTTTACCATGATGCGTTTTAGATTCTAAGTGAAGCTAAGAAGCTTATGGTTATTTTTTTTTCATCTGTGGGCAACTTTTCTAAAAGAAAATCTGACCGGGAAGGTACTTTAAAGCGGTTATTTTGTTGATTATTCCAAGAGTTTTTCCAGAAAAATCGTGAAAAACATGAGAAAACCGAGGGGGAAAGCGAAGGATTAATGGGAAAATCGGTACATTAAACGGTGTAACTAATCGGTATATTAAAGAAAATATATAATACCTTTTAAATTATTTTACCACAATATGACATACATATTGTTGACAAAGCATTACTATTAACTTAACTCCGTTCAGAATCGTTTTTTCGTAAGCAATGGTTTATCGTTGCTTACAGATATACATTAAATTACCTTTAACAGTGGCTGCATCCATCTCCATTATCCTAAGGCAGTTTTTTTAATCTGTATTTCCTCGGAAAACCACTTTTTCGATTAGTAAACCTGCTACGATTTTTTCATGCCTTAATAAATGTGAAATTTACTTTTGGGCGGTATAATTGAACGATTTTTTTAAAATGTTCAATGGTTCAACCCCTTGAATTCGTTTTTCTCGGAAAATCCTTTCGGTTAGGAAAATTGCCCAAAATGATTCATATCTTATAATACCTTATTTGAATTCAGTAGGTACCTATATTACCGCCTTATCATATATAGTTTACCTGTACAAGTTACAAAATTGGAGTGAAGTATGTCAGGCTTAAAAAATAATAATAATAATTACCATATTAACGTTAAATGCGTACAATACTAGGTAGGCAGGTAAAGTTAATAAAAAACTAATCGATAGGTTTATTGGATTACAAAAAAGAAAACATCACCCGTATGTACATATTATATTATGCTGGATACGTTGCGTACCTGCCTATAATTCAGGACCTATTATGCCTAGTTTTTATTTATTTATGCGAGTACACGCGTACTCGTACTATACCTACAGAATGTAATATTATTGCGAAATTTAGAGCGTTATCAGTTGGCCTCGAACTTCAGGAACGTCACAGAGAAAAAAAAATTGCTCCTTGAAAATTGCTGCACGGCCTATAAGTATAATAATAATATTGTAGGTATACGGGGTACCTATTACAATATTATTTCATGGGTATCCATTCAAAAACGTCGGTACTTAAAATAGATACCTACGGAACTGTTGCATTATTTAGTACGCGTATATCTACGTACCTATATCACCAATATATTATTATATTCCTATTATGTTTATCACAGTTTTATATCTAACAAAATTGTATATTCAAATTCGATTTCGTCCGGCTCGTGTCTACATATTATATACATTTAAAATTTAAATTTCCACGAGATAATAAATTTTAAATTCATAAAAAAATAACATTTAGTAACGCGGCCGTTATATGCAATATTATAATAAGTATATAGGTGTACGAAATATACGTAGGTATATTATATGTACGATGTACAGGGTGCAAAATGTATACCGATTTGCATCAGGTGCAAGTATCCAATAATAATTTAGAAATACCTATTAAAAAAATATTTACCTCGTGGGAAAAT